CTTCTTAACTTCTTATAAACTCACTGTGCATAAACTTCTTAACTTCTTATAAACTCACTGTGCACAAACTTCTTAACTTCTTATAAACTCACTGTGCACAAACTTCTTAACTTCTTATAAACTCACTGTGCACAAACTTCTTAACTTCTTATAAACTCACTGTGCACAAACTTCTTAACTTCTCATAAACTCACTGTGCACTCTTTAACTTCTAAAGCCTAGCGTACATCGACAGAGAAACTGGAGACAACTAGTTGCAAGGCGGCTTTTGGCAACTGAGTGGAGATGGTGGGAGATGATCAGTTGCCGAAATCGGTCGATGTGCGCGCTCTTACAACTGGAGATGATCAGTCGGTCTCCAGTTTCAGTCAGTTGCCCGTGTTCTACTTTTCGGCAACTAGTTGTCCTCAGTTTCGAAGATATGACCCGATGTGCGCGCTCCATGCGCCGCTCCGACAACGTGTGTGTATTGCGTGTATTGCGCCCGCAACAGTTTATGCCAGAAAACACACTGTAGGTGACGGACAGTTGCTGTCGATGTACGCGCTGTTATTCCCGAGACTGGTCTGCTACTGGGAGTTGCCCGTTTTCGTCAGATTGTCGATGTGTGCGGGGCAGCAACTCATATGCGACGGATATAATCAGTTGCCAGTCCGATGTACGCTAGGCTTTAAAGACACAAAATGACTCAATACACAAAGACACTCCATGTGTCTCTTAAAACTCTGTCTCTTTATCTCTGTGTCTCTTTATCTCTGTGTCTCTTTATCTGTGTCTCTCTGTGTCTCTGTCTCTTTATCTCTGTGTCTCTCTGTGTCTCTTTATCTCTGTACCTCACATTCTTATGTCTTTCTACACTTCTATGTTCACTGTCTATATCCTTTCTACACTTTCTTACCACTGTTCTACGTCTTTCTACACTTCCTTCGTCTTACTTCACTTACTTTTCGTCCTTCTGCACTTTAAGACACAACACAGCTATTGACACAAACACTTTTCTTAAAGAGACATTTTCCTTTACGTCTCTTGTCTCTATTTTCTCAGCTGAACTCTTAAAAGACAAAGCTCACTGTAGCAGTCACTGCAAATTAACACTATCTCACTGGATTTTAAATTTCTTTTTACATTTTAGTCCTTTCCAACACTAATCCATGACTCCGGAGCAAAACACAGCACAGTACAATTGAGAATTTTTTGTGTGAAAATCTCACCCTTTAGAAGTCAGCTGGTCTTTTTCTCGATTGTGCTGCAACGTGTCTCGCATCCGCCGCAGTTCGTGGCGCCAAATTCTGTAGTGTATCCTTATCTTCGAAGACAGGGTTTCCCGCACACATGGATAGTGATGGAAGAGGAATGAACTATTGAATGAGTTATGATTAAAAGGAGTTTAATGACATAATCAGAATACATTCAGTTCAATTCAGGCAAAGAGCTCTTCTGCCTGGGTCTCCTCTCTGATTCAGGCTCAACGCCAGAAGACCCAGAATAGAAAACTAAACTGGGTTAAATACTAACATTTACCTTTACCATATATGTCCATCTGACCTATGATCCTAGACTCTTAAAATAAAAAGCAAGCCTGCTTCTTTGTGTCCTGGTCAGCATTCCTGTTGGATGTGAATAGAACAGAATACAGCTCATTTACAACAACATCATGTGTGGTTTTCATTATTTTCATGTTCCTAGATGTCTATTATATACAATATGTATGTGGATTAGCTTTAGAGCATATTTTATCAAGCCAGCAGGTGGCACCACCGCTCTCTGGATGTTTTGAAAACAGGATGCACTTGTGAGAGCTGAGCACATGGTGGAGAATAGCAGACAGAGAAACGGAGAGATCAAAGTGTGGAGTAATCAGGGAAATGCAGACAGCTCACGCTGGAACAGGTGTTATTTGGTGGTTCCAAGAAGAGTGTTTGTTCAGCTAATATCGGAGGGGGAGCCACAGTAGCCCAAAAATGATGTTTATTAACCAGGTGATCTTAATATTCTTTAAAGGACGCATCTCATCAGCATCTGAGTAACAGCTGTGGGGTAAATTGTAGCTTTTATTGAGATCTCACTGTTGATTAATCATAATTGGCAACCTATTTCATTTAAGTATGCTTTGTATGTGGCAATGGAAATTCCACATGAGCTGGTACTGTATAATGTATTTGTAATGCTCTGAAATGTTGCAATTTGCTTTTAATGGAGGTAGAACTTTACAGGAACACATGCCAACCATCAGAAGGTGGTAGTGTGTACAACTTCTGGAAAAAGTCCCTGTGGAGAGGTATGAAGAAAATGTCCATTGTCTGGGATCGTGTCTTTAGACAGAAGGCACGTTTTATTGTCAATGGTAGAAGAGCACAAAACAAAGATATTACTGAATGCGAGCGATACTACACCGGAAGAATCATAGGCTGTAAATCATCAGCTGCCAACGTGCCAGTGGTTTCAACCTTGAGAACCAAAACAAGTACTGCCTCGTGCATATTGTTAGAATGATGAGTTTAATTTTAATCAAAGATATATCAATGTATCTTTAATTCAGATGTAGTTTGTAGATCCAACAAAAAAAAACAACGATGAAGAATCAAATAAACTAAACAGAAAAACAGGCAACTCTTGTCCTATGAGTTCTTTCTATAAAGTTCTATAAAGTTCAGTTTGATCCAATGAGCAAACGCAGCAGTAGATTACGTCACGGAATCTGGACGGAAGCAGAAGTAAATATAAAAAACTACCTATTCATGCCTAAACTTAAGCAGCCATTCCCATAAAATAACCCAAACCCAGCCTTAACTCTAAACTTAACCATCTTAATCAGACGCCTAAACTTAACCAGTCACCACTTAAGGACATATTAAACTTTTTGACATGCGCAAACTGAACTTCCGGACGAATCCGGTTTCCGGGACGAATACGGGAGTGACCATGAGCCATGAACCGTGACCATGACCACCATACGCAGTACCATGAGGGGGGAGGACAGGGGGGCAGCGCCAGGTAAAAACATCACGTCCGGTGGGTCACGTGGGTTCACATTACGTAGGTTACAACTAGTCCAAAGTGAGATGCTGAATGCTTTGATGTGCAGTTTAATAAAAAATATTTGTGAAAGTGTTTTTGTGTGTAGGTACTATACTTTGAAAGGTGTACAATCATGTTTATATAGAGTATATCTGTATTTTGTGTATCAGATTTCTTGATTTGATAGCCTTTTTATGATACGATACACTTAGCACCAGCCTCTGATCCTCCTGCAGGTGCTCAAGTCAACAGGACCCTTGGATGACGCTTTGCTCCAAATACAAAGTTTGCGTGTGTGCCTCTCATGCATGTGCACAGAGGAGCACGGCAGGGTTCTCACACGGTTCTCACCCGCTCAAAGCGAGCAGAGTTTGTCGCACTAACGTGTGAATTCATTGAAAAACAAAGAATGTAATGATTTTTTTTTAAAGTTCAGGATGACAAGGGACACTAAAATCCCCATTATATCCGACCTTTATGAAAGCTGTAGGTTCTTTATCAGCTGAGATTGAGTCGTTTTAGTTTACATTGAGTTCTATGGGACATTTTTCTTGGTAGCCCGCTTGAATTTACTCCAGTACCGCGGGTGCCCTTGTGCCTGTGGGTGGGATGGCTATAAACTAATAATACCCTATCCAGTTATAGCTGCTGATCAGATCGGTGCCAGAGGGGAAAGAAAACAAGCAGAGTTTGTTGCATTAAAGTGTGTATGTAAAGAAAACTGAAGTATTTTACAAGAAAAAAAAGTTCAGGATAACAAGGGGACACTAAAATCCCAAAAACCTGTGTTGTTTTAGTTTATATAAGTTCTATGGAAAAAATTTCTGGGCAGCCCACATGAATTTAGACTACAGTACCGCTGGCCTCCCCCTGTGCTCATTGCTGGGACAACTATAAGCGAGTAAAACCCCATCCAGATATTATAATAGATTGATGGGAAGTCCTAATGTACGTTTTTCTCGTTCAGATCTAAACACGAATAGATTTAGAAATGAACCAGATCTAAACCAGAACTGAAGCAGATCTTAACCAGAACTCCACGTTTGCAGAGATCAGCACCTCTCTCTCCTGTTTGTCGTGGCCTTGCTTTGGTCGTGGGAAGCTGGTGTTTGGTTGATTGTTTCTATTAAACGCCATTCTAACTAAACCTAATGATAACATTTACTCTGGAATAATCTCTTGTATTCTGAAACGGCTTTGCACGAAATGTGGTTTTGAACTCTGCTGATGGAAACTAATTTATCTTCACACTTTCATCTTCATCTGTTTGTGGTTGTAAGAGTTGGTCTCATGTTAAGTTTAAGGACAACAAAAACACGCCATCACTTTCTGCTGTTTGGCTGAGTTCAATTTCCCTGTTCTTTACTTTTGTATACTCAGACTGTATGTGTGTGTCTTCAAGCTCGATAGAACAAATCAAACACGAGAGTTCTTCATCTTTTATTATTTTCAGTTTATAGTTTCATACCAACGCCTCACACATGTATTTACAGGCTCAGGCCATCGTGAGGCGCTGCAGCCACTGGAGCTGAAAGAGGCGAAGCTTATTTAAACATAAAAATAAGTTGTTTTGACTTTATAAACATTTTAATAAAAATACTAAATATAAGATTTAACAATATACTATAACTGTGAGACCAGAGAGAGAGACCACTATGACATCACACACAGAACAATTTTCTGCTTTTTAAAACAAAAGTATTGTCCATCCATTAATTTTGGTAATTCATCAGGTGATTGGATGGATTGTATTACAGGCTTTCATTGTTGCGGTCTGAAAGTTAAGTACTCAAGCTTTAAGGGATAATGCCACATTATAAACACATTATCACAAGTATAAACCTATAAATGAATAAAAGTGGTTTCCTGTTTACAAAGCGCGTCTTATGTTTGTCCAGAAACATAAATAAAATCAAAGAGATGTTTTTATAGTGAGCTGTTTCCTGTGACGGTGAGCCGTGACGGTGAGCCTTGATGGCTCCTCACGCTCTGTTGTTGGTGTTTGGCAGATAGTCCGTGGGTCTCATCTTCATCTCTGTGAACGGAATGGACGTCTCTTTGCCCTTCCACGACATCCAGATCACACCCTGAGGAGCACAGTAATCAGTACTACACAGTATGGCTGCACAATGTATTGATAAAATATTGTCACCGTGATATTGGTTTGTGCAATATCCATATCTAAATGGTGCGTGATCATTTTGAAATATTTATGTATGCATTTCTTGTACGGGCACTTTGACAAATCTGCTGTGACCTAGTGCAGTACAGTGGAGCATGTGAAGAAACAGAACAAGCATGGTGGATGATGAAGAGACAAATGCAGCTGAATGCAGCGAGGAACTTGTTTGCTAAAGACACTTTACCTCCAGAATTTGGGACTACTTTGGATTTACAAGACAGGAACAATCATAGAAACAAGTTATTTGCAAGTAATGCCAAAATATTGTCGTTACGTTGAAGGGAAACAAGGCAAATCTACAGAGCCATCTCTAGCACAACCACAAGGTACTTCATGCTGTGTATTTACAATCCACTCCACCGCCTACTCTGGTCAAATTAAAGGCAAATGCGCAAATGAGCTTCAATGATAGCTTCGCTTCTGTAGCTCCTTATGAGAAAACTTTGAAGTGCCACAAAGCTTTAATTGCAGCAATTACGCAAGATAGATAGATACAGTATGTAGTGTTTGAAGTTGTTCCCGGACACCCTGTACAGACTTTGGTACTTGTACTGGTACTGGTACCTGGTGTTTGGAGTTGGTCCCATACAGTCCATTCAGGTTGGCCTCGTGACAGTTCTTGTACCACCAGCCTCCGCGGTACGACATGGCGCAGCGTGTGATGAAGGAGGCAGGGTCTCGGTCTTTGGTCGTGAAGATCCGCCCACTGTGGTACGACATTGAGTCTCCTGCCAAGCAAAGTACTTCAAATACTGCAAAAAATTGGCAGGATGGCAGTAGCAGTAGTTGTAGTTTTAGTAGTATTGGCAGGAGTAGTAATAGTACATACAACAGAGACACCAGAGTGAGAGACCAGAGAGTCTGTTGATGGGGCCAGTTACCTGCCGTCCCGCTGTACCCTCCCACTGTGAGGCGGTAGTTCCTCTTGGAAACCTCAAAGGTGGAATACTGAGCAAAGACAGTGTCCTGTCGGTCCCTAAGGTCCACTCTGAGCATCATACTGCCCCTGGTGGTGAGATTGTGCAGCGCCTCCAGACCTGAAACCAGAGTCACACCGGGTTCATACATGAGAGACAGCATCCCTGTGAGTCACTATTTGATTCTTTAGTAGTAGTAGTAGTAGTATATATTAGTGGTAGTAATAGTAGTAGAAGCAGTAGTAGTAGTAGTAGTAGTGACTGCAATGTGTCTGCAATCATGGAAAGAAAAAATGAGTAAAATACAATAATACTTATATATAACTAATAAGTATTATTGTATTTTAATAATACTTATTATTAAATACTATTGTATGATTTAAATGTTACTTTGTCTTATTTCATTTAAATTTCTACCTCAAAATTGCAGTTTTTGTCATAGTTTTCTCATATTTGACAAAGCAGCATGCTGTGAGGCAAGCCTCCCTCTGGTGACGTAAAAGTCTCAGCTCACAGTGGGAGAATGCCGTGTAGTGGATCATACTCTTTTCTCTGTTTATCGCTGTTCTAAAGTTCAAAAATATATTCTTTACAAACAACATCTCTACAGGTCTTTATCATGCTCAACCGTGTATTACCCCCACCTACGGACACAGGGGGCGCCCGCGGTACTGCAGACTAAATTCACGCGGGCTACTCAGAAAAATATCCCACAGAACTCTATGTAAACTCAACAGCTCGACCTCAGCTGACAGAGAACCTACAGCTTTCATAAAGATCACATTTTGTGGGGATTATTGTGTCCTTTGTCCTTTATTTTCTTCTTAGATGTTTCAGTTTTCTTTAATTCCATACTTTAAAGCAACAAACTCTGGTTGTTTTCTTCCCACTCTGGCCCCCCTCTAGCTCCGCTCTGATCAGCAGCTCTGACTGGTCAGAGCTACCCCCTGCTCCTCTGTGCATGTGCATGAGAGCCACACACCCATATTTGGCGCAAAGCATCATTGGAGCTCGTCCATTGCGCAGAACGGGAAGGACCAGACAATGCCCAAATATGGGCGAGTTACGCTAATCTTTCAATCCCCATGGTTGTCCCATGCGCTACTGAGCACAAGCCATTGTTTTGAATAGGGCGCCATCTTGGATCACCGGGGCTTGGGCCAGCCTCAAGGTAGTCAGCTGCAGACAGTTGCAAAGTTGCAAGATTTGTTTATACTATAGATTTTATATAAATTATTTCCAGATGGAAAAATACATATCTATGGTCAACTAGTATGTGGACTTAAAAATTAAACTGGTATGAACTAAAGTGGTGCATGGAGTTCATTTATAAGGTGAGGCCCATAACACACTTCGAAATATGCGTTTTACATATTTTTGAGTAAACAATGCAGACATTAATAATATTCCGCTGTTGCAAAACACATTGTGAATTGTGGTCAGTGCCTCACCAATCACCAACTTCACGGCCTGTCACTGGTAGTAGTAGCAGTAGTAATTGAAGTAGTCGTAGCAGTAGCAGTAGTAGCAGTAGCAGTAGCAGTAGTAGCAGTAGCAGGAGTATAACTCTCTGACCAAGCCAGAACTCTCCTGCTGGTTCCCCGAAGCCTTGGACGTACTCTCTCCACGACCTGAAGAAGTCCACAGAGCCGTCCTGCCTGCGCTGGAATACCTGCAGGGTCAGAGGCCACTTTAATTCAGATTCAATCATTTATTATAATTATGTGGTAATTACAATAAACTAGAAACCCCATTCAGAGCCAATCAAGCGTCAGCATGGACTATATAGAAGGACAATGCTAACCCGCTAGTTCAATGAAGACGTACACTCGCTGTGGCTCTAACACCTCTAACCCAGTAACCGTTTGTGTCACACTAGTTTAGTGCTTTTTGTGACATTTGTCATCATTATTGGATTCACATTTGTGAGCCTGCCCCCCTGCTCATGATTGGTTGGTTTGTTTGTTGGAAACAGACCTGTGAATTTCCAATATGGATGCTGGTTTTCTAAAATGTTCGCACTGTGGGACAATTAAAGGATCTCTTAATCTTAGATTACGAGCAGACAGAAGAACATTGTGGTTCCACATGTAGTACCGGTAAATTGTATTACTCTGTTTCGTGTGTGTAGAGACGTGAAGCTCTCACCGTCCAGCCACCGCCGTCCGTGTCCATGTCACACCACACGCTCAGTGCGGCCCCCTTTCGGCCCATAGGGTAAATGTCCACAAGGCCAGAGACACTCAGACCATTCAACTGTTCCTCTGAACAGTCTGCGGGGAAGGGGAAGCGCAGGGAGCCTGGAGGCACAAGCTACATTTAGTATCAACACCACTGAGGAGCAATGAGGACCTGCATAAGTAGACCCCTGCTGGAGAAGTATGGAAACGGCACTATCTTCTCTAGAGGTACAGCTATTAAATATTTTGGTAGTTGAGTGTTCTATCGAATAGACCGATTGATTAATCAAGTAATGGAGACCAAAAATGTCATATTTTTGCCTAGTTAAAAATACACAATATCAATTGAAAACCACTTAATAATGACAACAGTTTTTAAAATTGTATACAGTTTATTGTATTCATATTGTTGAGAAATTAAGCGGTGATTGCACGTGTACCACGATTGATTTTCGAGTCCTTCCAGATTGAACAAAATCAGATGAGGCGTATGGAGGACCAAAAATGACTAAAGTATAAATAAATAAATAAATACAGGAATATATTAATAAATACATTCATTTTGGACAATAAAAACTAAATATTTACATGAATGTGTTAAATATTACTATGAAATCAAATAAATATACTTTTATTTAGGTTATTTATCAAAATCTACATTTTTTCCTTTATTTATTTATCCATTTATTGCATATATTTATTTATGTATTTCTACATTTCTTCATTTATTTATTTATGTATTTCTACATTTCTTCATTTATTTATTTATGTATTTCTGTGTCGCTACATTTCTTCATTTATTTATTTATGTATTTCTACATTTCTTCATTTATTTATTTATGTATTTCTACATTTCTTTATTTATTTATTTATGTATTTCTACATTTCTTCATTTATTTATTTATGTATTTCTACATTTCTTCATTTATTTATTTATGTATTTCTACATTTCTTCATTTATTTATTTATGTATTTCTGTGTTGCCGTATGCTAATTAGGCGGGCGGTGCTGAACTCAATCTAGAACAGGATTGGTGGGCAGTAGGTCAGCCAGGGCAACCAGACAGAAGCAAAGTTAAGCCTAGCGTACATCGACAGAGAAACTGGAGACAAGTTGCAAGGCGGCTTTTGGCAACTGAGAGGAGATGATGGAGATGATCAGTTGAAATCGGTCGATGTGCGCTCTCTTACAACTGGAGATGAACAGTCGGTCTCCAGTTTCAGTCAGTTGCCCGTGTTCTACTTTTCGGCAACTAGTTGTCCTCAGTTTTCGAGATATGACCCGATGTGCGCGCTCCATGCGCCGCTCCGACAACGTGTGTATTGCGTGTATTGCGAGCCCGCAACAGTTTATGTCAGAAAACACACTGTAGTTGAGGCCAGTTGCTGTCGATGTACGCGCTGTTATTCCCGAGACTGGTCTGCTACTGGGAGTTGCCCGTTTTCGTCAGATTGTCGATGTGTGCGGGGCAGCAACTCATATGCGACGGATATAATCAGTTGCCAGTCCGATGTACGCTTGGCTTTAGCCTTCTCGGTTTGTGAGAGGATGTGAAGCTTCTGCTTGTTGAAGAGCGTCCAGCACAGTTGCATCAAAGTCTACCTCTGGGTCAGCACTGATGAACTAAAACATCTAATAGTCTTTCCAGCCAAAAGAGTAGATAGTCCTCAGGTGCATTATGCTCAACATCATTAACATCATTTGCTAATGCTCTTAATTGATGAGCAATGGCTCCTAAAAAACTTACATTCGAAACTGCCATCATACCACACAAAAGTGCACAGAGGATCTCTAGCTAGCTAACAGAGTACCGTAATGTGAGGCAGTAATGATCGAGACCAGAGTTCACGCAATCCTAACCAATCCTGTTCTAGATTGAGTTCAGCACCGCCCACCTAATTAGCATACAGGAACACAAAAATACATTAATAAATAAATGAAGAAATGTAGAAATACATAAATAAATAAATGAAGAAATGTAGAAATACATAAATAAATAAATGAAGAAATGTAGCGACACAGAAATACATAAATAAATAAATGAAGAAATGTAGAAATACGTAAATATATAAATGAAGAAATGTAGAAATACATAAATAAATATATGCAATAAATGGATAAATAAATAAAGGAAAAAATGTAGATTTTGATAAATAACCTAAATAAAAGTATATTTATTTGATTTCATAGTAATATTTAACACATCAATGTAAATATTTAGTTTTTATTGTCCAAAATGAATGTATTTATTAATATACTCCTGTATTTATTTATTTATTTATTTATTTATACTTTAGTCATTTTTGGTCCTCCATAGAGGCGTATGTCTGACCATATTTAAAATGCTATCTGTCAGAACAGCTGCTTGTGCTGGGAGCAGAAAGGTCCTTTGAGAAGGTACCAGTCCCAAACAGGCTGGGATGGTTTCCTGAAAGAAAGGGAAAAGCAAATGTAAAATGTCAAATGTCAATTGCAAACGCCTTTCAGATTTAATTATGTCTTATAATGTAAAACAAATACTGCTGACCTGACCTCGGATGCCGTGCATCTGTGCAATAGATATAATATGTGTGGCCACTGACACTTTACTGAGTCACTGTTTCCTACTGTATACCCTCATGCTACTAACATGTGCAGATACAACTATATATTTCTGCACTAGAATGTACAGCATTTTATTCTTGTTTCTTTATTATGTTAAAGTTAGAGATTGAATTTTATCTTGCATAAAGTTATTGTTCACTTCTCTTGTGCCGTGTGATCCTCATTCCCTCTGTCCTGTAACTGGTGATGGATCTTGGTCCACGGTGATCATACAGGCCTACTGATTATGTACAAAGTTCAAATAATTGTTGTAGAGTAGTATACCTGTTGGCACTAGGATTGTAGTGAATGTCCAACTAAGTAAAACATTCCTAATACATTTCTTCTGTGGGCAACTGATAAACCTAAGATAAGATAGACTTCATTGATCTCACACTGGAGAGATTTACCTTTATGGTATTTTCACTGCATTAACAAATGAAAGGCACCTTAACGTGGTGGGGGAGTTTGAGTACTCGGATGATCCTGGGAGCTATGCTGTCTGGGGCTTCATGCCCCTGGTAGGGTCTCCCATGGCAGACAGGTCTCAGGTGACGAGTCAGACGAAGAGCGGTCCAAAAACCACCATGGACAGCACAATAAGGACAACAGTGACGTCGCCCGGCATGGCGCAGCCGGGGCCCCACCCTGGAGCCAGGCCTGGGGCGGGGCTTGTATGCGAGCGCCTGGTGGCCGGGCCTTAGCCCACGGGGCCCGGCCGGGCTCAGCCCAAAGGGATGACGTGGGCAGTCCCTCCTGTGGGCCCACCACCTGCAGAGGGGTCCGTGGTGGCGCGGTGCTGAGAGGACTGGGCGGCAGTCGAAGGCGGAGACCTCGGCGACCCAGTCCGCACACACAACATCTGGCTCTTGGGGGGGAAGGAGCCCGAACTCGTGGGGGAGGTTGAGCGATACCGACTAGAGATAGTCGGCCTCACCTCCACACACAGCTTGGGTTCTGGAACCCAACTCCTTGAGAGGGGTTGGACGCTCCACTTTTCTGGTGTTTCCCGCGGGGAGAGGCGGCGAGCTGGGGTGGCCATTCTCATTGCCCCCCATCTCAGCCGCCACGTGTTGGAGTTCTCCCCGGTGAATGAGAGGGTCGCGTCCCTCCGCCTCCGGGTGGGGGACAAGTCTCTCATTGTTGTGACGGCCTACGGGCCTAACAGCAGTGCAGAGTACCCGGCATTCTTGGAGTCCTTGGGAGGGGTACTGGACGGTGCACCGCCGAGGGGTGATCGGGAAGAACGGCCCCCCTGATTAGAACCCAAGCGGTGTTCAGTTGTTGGACTTCTGTGCCAGTCACAGTTTGTCTATCACGAACACCATGTTCGAGCACAAGGGTGTCCACCAGTGCACGTGGCACCAGGACACCCTAGGCCGGAGGTCGATGATCGACTTTGTTGTCGTATCATCTGACCTTTGACCGCGTGTCTCGGACACTCGGGTAAAGAGAGGGGCGGAGCTGTCAACCGATCATCACCTGGTCGTGAGTTGGATCCACTGGCAGGGGAAGAAGCCGGTCAGACCTGGCAGACCCAAGCGTATAGTGAGGGTCTGCTGGGAACGTCTCGCTGAGCCCCCTGTCAGACGGGCTTTCAACTCGCACCTCCGGTAGAGCTTCTCCCAGGTCCCGGCAGAGGAGGGGGACATGGAGTCCGAGTCGACCATGTTCTCTGCCTCAATCGGCGATGCGGCGGCTCGTAGCTGTGGTCGCAAGGTCTCTGGTGCTGGTCCCGGCGGCAACCCCCGAACCCGGTGGTGGACACCGGCAGTAAGGGATGCTGTCAGGCTGAAGAAGGAGTCCTATCGAGCCATGATGGTTCGGGGGACTCCTGAGGCAGCTGTCCAGTACCGGCAGGCCAAGCGTGCCGCGGCCCGGGCTGTTGCAGAGGCAAAAACCCGGGACTGGGAGGAGTTCGGAGAGTCCATGGAGCATGACTATCGGTCGGCCTCGAAGAGATTCTGGCAAACCATCCGGCGCCTCAGGAGGGGGAAGCAGTTCTTTGCCAACACCATGTACGGTGCGGGTGGAGAGCTGCTGACCTCGACTGGAGATATTGTCGGTCGGTGGAAGGAATACTTTGAGGTTCTCCTCAATCCGCCGTCACGTCCTCCGTTACAGAGGCAGAGGCTGAGGATGTTGGGGCGGATACATCCATCTCCCTGGCTGAGGTCACCAAGGTGGTTGGCAGCCTCCATGGTGGCAAGGCTCCGGGTGTGGATGAGATTCGTCCTGATTATCTAAAGTCTCTGGATGTTGTAGGACTGTCTTGGCTGACACGTCTCTGCAACATCGCGTGGCGATCGGGGGCGGTGCCAATGGAGTGGCAGACCGGGGGGGTGGTCCCTCTCTACAAGAAGGGGGACCGGAGGGTGTGTTCCAATTATCGTGGGATCACACTCCTCAGCCTCCCCGGTAAGGTCTACTCCAAGGTACTGGAGAGGAGGCTACGGCTGAGGGTCGAATCTCGGATTCAGGAGGAGCAGTGTGGTTTTCGTCCCGGTCGCGGAACACTGGACCAGCTCTATACTCTCCATCGGATACTCGAGGGTTCATGGGGAGTTCGCCCAACCTGTCCACATGTGCTTTGTGGATTTGGAGAAGGCGTTCGACTGTGTTCCCCGGGGTGTCCTTTGGGGGGTTCTCCGGGAGTATGGAGTCGGAGGTCCTCTGCTGAGGGCCATCTGATCCCTGTATGACCGGAGCCAGAGCTGTGTTCGCATTGCCGGCAGTAAGTCAGACCTGTTCCCGGTGAATGTTGGCCTCCGACAGGGCTGCCCTTCGTCACCGGTTCTGTTCACTGTGTTTATGGACAGAATTTCTAGGCGCAGTCAGGGGTCGGAGGGGGTCCGGTTCGGAGACCACAGGATTTCATCTCTGCTGTTTGCAGACGATGTTGTCCTGTTGGCTCCAACGAACCAGGACCTGCAGCATGCACTGGGGCGGTTTGCAGCCGAGTGTGAAGCGGCTGGTATGAGAATCAGCACCTCCAAATCCGAGGCCATGGTGCTCGACCGGAAAAAGGTGCCTTGCCCTCTTCAGGTGGGTGGAGAGCAGTGATGGGAATAACGGCGTTATTAGTAACGGCGTTACTTTTTTCAGGAATGAGTAATCTAACTAATTACTTTGACAGTAACTATAACGCCGTTATCATTTCCGACATCCCGTTACTGCGCGTTACTCAAGACGCACAATGAACATGTTGTCATGAGAGAAGGGAGGATGAGAAAACCTCTCAGCAATTATTGGCTGATGTAAAACATATTTCCTTTACAATCTACATGTCTGCAGTTGAGAGGATGGTCATAAATTGTGTTTTTGAAACAAATATGGGTCCTAATCGCGCTCAACTACGGCTTCTATCACCGTGAGGCCAGCCTCAGAGGAGCTCATGTGAGCGCAGAAGTCGGCTGCATACAATTCCATCGATAAGCTCCTTTCTCTTCCTGGTTTATCTGCTAAGGACAGCAACAGGTTTGGCTAACATACATATAACACATTTTAAGATAATTTAAAATGCACATAGGGTAATTTTTCAATTACTATAGGAATGATAAGAAAGAGGTGAAGTGTAAGACGGTTGGTTTTAGAAATTGGATGCACCCGGCTGCACCAAAACAAAGGAGTTTACGGAGGACACACGCGTTTTGTTTTACTTTTTAAAACTCATTGGACTCATTTCCAAATGGAGGATTACATATCTACGCTCAAACTATTATCTGGACTTAAACAAGGAACTGGTCTGAACTGAAGTGGTCTGTGCAGGTCATTTATAAGGTAAGACCCGTAACTCATAGTTTTGCGTTTTGTATGAACAAACAATGTGGGCATGAAACATATTCTGCTGTAGCCAAACAAATTGTCCAGTTGATTTATATGATATATATGTTCATCTGATTGGGCTGAAGTCAAGCTTCACCGGTGTTTCCACATTCACAGTGGCGGGTGTTGGTGTTTAGTGCTTACAGCACAGAGAGAGATGAAGAGTGAACAGGACTTCAGCAGCAAAACAGACTTTTCTAGATGGAAATATTGTAAAAATGCGCACGTCGGGTGCACATTATGTTCCAGAACAAAACGAAAAAAGTAACGCAATAGTTACTTTTACTGGTAACTAGTTACTTTTATAGTGGAGTAACTCCGTTAGTAACTCAGTTACTTTTTGGGAGAAGTAACTAGTAACTATAACTAATTACTTTTTCAAAGTAACGTGCCCAACAATAGTGGAGAGGTCCTTCCTCAAGTGGAGGAGTTCAAGTATCTCGGGGTCTTGTTCAAGAGTGAGGGAAGAATGGAGCGTGAGATTGACAGGCGGATCGGTGCAGCGTGCGCAGTAATGCGATCGCTGTATCGGACCGTTGTGGTAAAGAGGGAGCTGAGCCGAAAGGCAAAGCTTTCGATTTACCGGTCAATCTTCGTTCCCTCCCTCACCTATGGTCATAAGCTTTGGGTAATGACCAAAAGAACGAGATCGCGGATACAAGCGGTCGAAATGAGCTTCCTCCGCAGAGTGGCTGGGCGCTCCCTTAGAGATAGGGTGAGGAGCTCAGTCACACGGGAGGAGCTCGGAGTAGAGCCGCTGCTTCTCCACGTCAAGAGGAACCAGTTGAGGTGGCTCAGGCATCTGTTCCGGATGCCTCCTGGACGCCGCCCTGGGGAGGTGCTCCGGGCACGTCCCACCGGGAGGAGGCTCCGGGGAAGACCTAGGACACGCTGGAGGGACTATGTCTCTCAGCTGGCCTGGGAACGCCTTGGGGTCCCCCCGGACGAGCTGGAGGAAGTGTGTTTGGATAGGGAAGTCTGGGCGTCTGCTTAGACTGCTGCCCACGCAACCCGCCAACGGATAAAGCGGAAGAAAATGGATGGATGGATGGAAGGCTAATTGAAGGAAACAAGCGGCAACTATGATAGCTTTGACTTGTCGTGGCGGTGGGAAAACCTCTCCTTGCTATCATGTTACTATCACAACTCTTGCCTTGCACCAAAACATAAAAGTTGACTTACCTCGTCTTGGGTCATCCCTTAATTGGATGCTTCCTCGTCAGGTGCTGCAGCATCCAACTTGTAACATTATGATATGCTAGCTCCACCTTGCAATGTGTGCAAACTACTCGGTTTTTCTTAGGCACATAAGCACGTCATAAGCTTTTCATAAGCACAACCTAAGCCATGTGACCACGCCAACTGGGCTTAGGGACGATTGCTGCAATCCTGCTTGGGCACCGTTGAGAGAGGTGAGCCTGCCCTGAGCACGATTGTAAAGCCCAAATGAAGGGGGTCAATGTGGCGGGTGGTAGGGAGTGGGGGATGAGGTGTGGTGGGGATTGGGCGTCACATTTTGTCTTCCTGCTGTGCCCACTGTGACGTGCATTTTCACACACTTCTCTACCTAGTAGTCCTATACTTTTGTATTTTCTCTTGCTTGTGTTACACCTTTCATGTAAGCCCCCACACCGGGGTAAAGGGGTGAAGGGATGCAATTTTTCATCTGTCATCATTTAGACTTAAGCGGGTGTCTATTCGTTGCTATTCACCTGCTGTCAAATTGTCTGTTGCATTGTGTGATGATAGCCGGCTTATTTCATCTGCACTTGTGGACTGGACTCTCGCCTTTGTGCGTCTTCAGTTCTGCACCACACAGCCTCAGCCCTAGATCACCAGCCTCAGTCCTGGATCTACAACCTCAGTCCTAGATCTACAGCCTCAGTCCTAGATCTACAGCCTCAGTCCTAGATCTACAGCCTCAGTTCTAGATCTACAGCCTCAGTTCTAGATTTACAGCCTCAGTTCTAGATTTACAGCCTGTCTGTCAGGAGGAGTGGATCCCTCTCTCAATGTGGGCTTCCCCACGGTTTCTCACTTTTTTCCTATTTTTTGTTGATGTAATTTCTTGCCAATGTGAAGTGACAGTAATGATTCTGAACATTTAGGAGACATATCTTGACAGTCGTTCAAATTGTTTTATTCTCTGATCTGCTGTTGGTGAATCGACAACTTTGTTTGTGTGAGGAGGAGCAGCGTTTAAACTTGGTCGGAGCTGGGGTTTACCGGTGGTGAAGGAGGTGGACAGGACCTCTTCTCCCTCTGTCTGCAGCTGGGCCGTGTACTCTTCTCCAGGGATCAGGCGCGTGAGGTTCAGCTGTGTCACTGTGGCTCCGAGTGAGACCTCCTGTTACACACAGACACACAAAACACAGGAATGTGTGTTTTTGTGTGTCGCTTATGTGTCTTGTCAACTGAAGCAATAATGAAGACATCTTTACCACTATGAGGGGAAATGACACACAAACAGGGACACGCTGACAGGGAATCCTGTAGGTTCCCTTTCAGCTGAGGATGAACAACCTCCAGATGAATGAATCATGGCATAATATACATTATATGAAAGCTCATTCTCATTCAAATATTAGTTATTATTTATACTTGAATCAAAAACACATGTATGGCAGATAAAATCAGTCTGCCATTCTCCAGTTTTGGTTCAATTCAAAAGAGCTGGAATTATTGTTTTCAATAGTTTTTTTCTTTTTTGACCTTTACATAACTAGGTAAGTCCAAACTAACTATTATTTATTTATATAGCGCATTATACAATATTTATGGAATCCCAATATTCCCACTGAGATTTCAGAATCTCTTGCTTATCAGAGTCCTGGCCCCTGTTTACCTTTGCATATATATATATATATATATATATATATATATATATATACATATATATATATTTATATATATAGGCCGAGGACTTGTGAGTGTGAGAGCCACTGTCCAGGACGAAACATCCAAACTCCATAACTACATCATGGAGAAGGCCAAAACGGATGACGTACTCAGTGAATGTCTCAGGCAGTGGCGAGATGAGGAGGTGCTGGAGGAGAGCCCATCATGGGAGAACAAGCCCCTACACGGCATGTACCACCGGAGCATAACAGAAGTGGCTGATCTCAAGAAGTCCTACCAATGGCTAGAAAGGGCTGGCCTACAGGACAGCACAGAGGACCTCATCATGGCTGCACAGGAACAGGCACTGAGCACCAGAGCGATAGGTGGTTACAGCGGATCCCTGGAACAACCTCGGACATCTCGGTCCAGAAATGTGCAGTGCTAGGAACAGCAAAGATACTGCGCAGAACCCTCAAGCTCCCAGGCCTCTGGTAGAGGACCCAAGCTTAGAGAGGGATAACCGCCCGCGGAGGGCCAAAGGTGAGTGGACAATTACATATTAGACATATTAGACATTAAACACAAAATACCAATAATACATATGGACAAAATTGTATACTAGAATGGATGCAAACAACAAAAGAATTAAAGTAAACTTTAGCCACATTTCCACCAGATCTACTCTACACTACTCTGTTTGGGAGTGTTTCCACTAGTCCTGTTTATTAACCTGTACCAGGTCCTTCTTTAGTCACTCTTGTTCTATCAAAGCAGAGCAGGTACTAAATTGTTTTAGCTGATAGTGATTGGCCAGAGTGCTGCCGGATCCTGGTTTTGTAGTGGGTAGGTTGCTAGGATACGGTACCAAATACTTCCGCATTATTGCAACGCAACCAGGTATGGTAGAGTAGAGTAGAGTACGGCCAAGTTGGGCTGGTGGAAACAGGATTTTAGTTTTAAAAAATGTAGACAAAAGCAACTTTTTTTTTTTAATTGGCACTTACAATTCAGCCTAACGTTAACGTTTAAAATGGAGACATTCTTTCTTTGGTCTGTAGTTCCTCTTATGCGCGTAGGACCTGCTTCTGGACATCAGTCCCTCACCTGCTTGTGTCCCTCCGTGTGATAGGTCAGCTTGTATCCAATCACGGGCCTGGATGGTGGTTTCCATGACAGCATGGCAGTGCGGGGTGTGACGTGTGATGCTCTGAGGTTTCTGGCTCCAAGCGACACAGATTCTGAGAAGGAAAGCACTGTGTTTACATTATAAGGTCGTTCAAGTGAATTTTTTTGAACCAGTCTAGTTTAGTAGCAGTGGAATTTTGAAAGCACTCGTTAAATGAATAGGGCTCGTGCCAACTCACGCGTGCGCATACATATTTTCACATTTCCCAGCCCCCGCGGCCATTTAGAAACTCCCCATAGATAGCTAAAGTGGTGGAACATTAGTTTCCACGGAGGAGATAGGCGTGACTACGTCCGTTAATATTTACAGTCTATGGTTGTAGAACTGGAGATTTATTTTCTCAGTACTGGTGTGAAACTTGAGTAACTGTAGGAGGTGACACCGGATGACCAGTTGGTGAGGTTATGCCCCTCCTCTTCCTGATTTCTCCTTGTGTATCTGTTTGTTTGACGTGTTTGATTCTTTGTAAAACAAGCTGTATATTCAAAGGGCAAGTACTAAGTTCGTACTACGGTCGTACTTCCTGACTAGAACCAGGAAGTACGACCTTAGTACGACATTAGTTCTGGTCTCAAGTCTCTGCACTGGCTTCCTATGACTCAGAGAATAGACTTTAAAACAGCTCTGCTTGTGCCATAGCAGAGTCAGGACTAAACATGGGCGGAGAGCAATGCTGGAAGAGCCTCCCTGAAAATGTGAGACAGGCTTTGAACTCTGACAATGTTCATTTCCAGGTTGAAAACAGTTTCCCTGCCACAACTGAAGGATTGTATCTTAAGTATTTTGAATGAATGTCATTCCTCTCCTCTCTCTGGTACCTGTGGTGGTTAATGTGCTGGTGCTTGTGGTAGTAAAGCTGGTCCTGTCCTCTCTGCTCTCTCGTCCTCTTCTCTCGCTGCTGATGGTGACGCTGTAGGAAGTGGACGGCTGCAGATTGCTCAGTTCTTTCTGAGCGGAGTTTCCGGAGACGCTGACTCTGACCTCAGACCCTGGACACAAACCATCAGAACCAGGACTATAAGAACCAGAATCATTCGGACAGTAAGAACCTGGACCCTCAGAACAATCACAAACCTGTTGATCTTGACAAGAAATCTTTGAGTTTGAAGTCTCATCTCAAGTTGTGTGGTCTCCTGTCTTTAATCTTAGTTTAGTTTGTTAATGAGGTTTTGGGGTATTGTAATTGAGTGTGTGCGTGTGCGCACGTGCGTATGTATTTGGGGACTGGTTTTAGTTTGTGGGGATTGAACACCGGACCCCACTGGTCCAAGCTTAAAAATCCCGATTCCGGGATTATGATCTAGTGCCGACCCAGGCGTGGCCCGGCAGTCTGGAGCCAACATGGAGCAGAACACCTGAGGAAGTCAGGTCGTCAGGCAAGAAAAGGTGCAGGTGTGGCCCATCAGGCTGCAAGAAATCATGGAGGAGCACACTGAAGGGCACGCTTACAACCCCCCGGTAAGTGCTGACTACAAGTTATGATTACAAATTGCTATATAATATCAAAATTATTTGCTGCGTGTGCAGCTTAGTCAAGAGTCCCTTGACAGAAATTATGAAGTCAACTCAAGATTCTGAAGATTTAAAAAAGTATGGATAAAGAAATGTCAACAATACTTTTCTTCGACTCAGAAAATGATGAACCAAAGGCAAATATGATTGGTCATGCAGCTTCAAAAGAATAAAACTGGAGCGAGAGTTTACAGCAAAGAGGCACTGCCTCTACTGTTCCATGTCCTGCCACAAAATGTCCCGTCATTTGTCTAGAAAACATGGAAATGAAAGTGACGTAGCCAGGGCATTGGCTCTACCTTTGAAATCTAAAGCAAGTAAACTTCAGTTTGATTTGATCGGGAATAGTAGAGGCCGTGAGCATAATTTTGAGGTTTTAAAGGCCGGCATTGGGACTTTAGTCCCAGCTAAACAGCCTGATTCTCCAGTGAAATCCAGTGACAAAAAATTACAAAAATGTAAACTACACATGTTACATATAGCTACCATTAATTAGGAATTCTAAAATGCACAGGAGTAGCAGATCATATGGCAAACATTTGCATTAACTTGCATATAAGGCATTTTAAGCGTCCCGCACATACGCACAGCTCATTCACTCAGCGATCTGTCCTATTAGATCCAGAGTTTTCTCCAGCGCCTGTGTGGCGTAGCGGGATTGTCCAAGGCTTTCGCTTGGATGATCGGGGTTCGAGCCCTGGCCAATTCTCAATTTTTATTAGCAAGGGGAGTATATGAATCAGATTACTCCGTTACTGAATAAAGTTGCATTTTTTTCCTGCAGTTTGGTTGGTGCAGATTGTGAAGTTTACAACAGTTTACTACAGTCTAGCAACTATTTTAAATGTGTTGACCTAATTACTAAGTTTTTTTTTTTTAACACTGGAGAAAACGTGCTCGGTGGGAGTTAAGAGGTTAAAAGCAGAAGATTTTCCGACAATGTTCCTAACCCTGCAAAGATAAAAAGCCAGTACAAAAGTGGAATAATTTTATCTTCATAACTTGGTGCTGATTGTGGAGTTGTATCAAAAGTCTTTAACTTGTACTCGAACCCAGGTATTCCTGCGCCAAAGACTTGAGCTTTATCATCAAGAAGATGGCGCCTCGTACGGTCGACATGGCTCTTTGCTGCTCTCTTTTTCTTTTGTTTTTACTTTTTAACTGTGCATCTGGCTGTTCCTACACCCGTGAGGAACTTATGAACATCCGACCCACCGTTCCCATGGACCTATTGCCTGTTTTCTTGGCATCTGCGGCTGATTTAGTTCATGTTCTAGCCAAAAAAGTGTGGGCCCGTAAAAGGGGAAAGCGAGGAGGCCTGCTCGTGCGTCTTAGGAGGAGAGGAGCGCGCACGGCTCTCCCCGGCATTTTTCTCTCCAACGTACGCTCACTGGGCAATAAGATGGACGAACTCAGCCTGCTCATGAGAAGAAACAAGGACTTCGCCACATCCTGTGTCCTCTGCTTCACTGAGACCTGGCTAAATGAGCGGATCCCGGACTGCGCTCTGGAGCTGCAGGGCTTTGGGCTGTTTCGCGCGGATCGCCATTGTGCGCTCTCAGGGAAGAGCAGAGGCGGAGGGCTCTGTTTCTACGTCAATACAAACTGGTGTAACGATGTGACAGTGATCTCCAAGCACTGCTCTCCTGCTCTGGAATATCTTTTCATTCATTGTAAACCATATTACTCCCCGCAGGAAATTGTTTCATTCATTCTTGCCTCTGTTTACATACCGCCATGCGCGGACGCGCGCGAGGCTCAGCGCGCACTCGCAGAGCAAGTACTGTGTATGGAACGCTTATACCCGGACTCTCTGATTATTATCCTGGGGGATTTTAATAAGGGAAACTTGAGCCAGGAATTACCCAAATACAGACAGTTTATCAAATGCCCGACCAGAGAGGAGAACACTCTGGATCACTGTTACACCACCGTGCGCGGAGCTTTTCGCGCTGTTCCCAAGCCAGCCCTCGGCTTCTCAGATCACTCCATGATACATCTGGTTCCTGCTTACAGACAGAGACTAAAGCTCTCGAAACCTGCAGTGAGGAGCTCCAAAGTGTGGTCTGATGAAGCTGTGGAAGAGCTGCGCGCATGCATGGAATCTACAGACTGGGACCTTTTCAGAGCTGCCACAGATAGTTTGGATGAATATACGGACACTGTGACGTCATACATTCACTTCTGTGAGGATAGCATCATTCCAACAAGGACCAGGGTCATCTATAACAACGACAAACCCTGGTTCACTGCTAAACTCCGGCAGCTCAGGAAAGCAAAGGAGTCTGCTTTCAGGGAGGGGGACCGCAGCGGCTACAAAGCAGCTAAATATCAGTTCAGGAAAGAACTGAAAGCAGCCAAGTCCCGGCACAGAGAACGACTACAGGAGCAGTTTGGTAACAACGATACTGCTTCTGTCTGGAGGGGCCTACGGGAGATCACCAACTACAAACCCAAAGCCCCCCCCTGTGCTGATGACCACAAGCTAGCTGACGATCTGAACTTATTTTTCAGTCGCTTTGATGCTGCCCCTGACACCTCTCCCTCCCCCACCCCCCACTACTCTAACGACCCACCCATCAGCCCTGCCCCCAGCCTAACAATAGCCGCTAAAGAGATTAAACAACTCTTCCTGAGGCTGCACCCCCGCAAAGCTCCTGGCCCGGACCACGTGTCTCCGGCCACTCTGAGACACTGCGCCAGTGAGCTTACTCCTGTGTTCACGGACATTTTCAACTCCTCTCTGCAGTCCTGCCATGTCCCGGCCTGCTTCAAATCCTCCATCATTGTCCCCGTCCCGAAGAAGCCCAGGATCACAGGACTCAATGACTACAGACCTGTAGCACTTACGTCTGTCGTCATGAAGTCATTTGAACGCCTGGTTCTCTCCCATCTCAAGTCCCTCACCTCCCCCCTCCTGGACCCCCTGCAGTTCGCCTACAGAGCCAACAGATCTGTAGACGACGCCATTAACCTGGCCCTCCACCACATCCTACAGCACCTGGACTCCCCGGGGACCTACGCCAGGGTCCTGTTCGTGGACTTCAGCTCTGCCTTCAACACAATCCTGCCATCCCTGCTCCAGGACAAGCTCTCCCAGCTCAACGTGCCCGATTCCACCTGCAGGTGGATCACTGACTTCCTGACGGACAGGAAGCAGCGAGTGCGTCTGGGGAAGAATGTCTCGGACTCTCGGATTATAAATACAGGAGCCCCACAGGGCTGTGTTCTTTCTCCCCTGCTCTTCTCCCTGTACACCAACCACTGCACCTCCAGCCACGACTCCGTGAAGCTGATCAAGTTCGCGGACGACACCACCCTCATTGGACTCATCTCCAACAACGATGAGTCCGCCTACAGGAGGGAGGTGGACCGGCTGGTGTCCTGGTGCAGTGGTAACAACCTGGAGCTGAACGCCCAGAAGACAGTGGAGATGATTGTGGACTTCAGGAAGAGCACTGTCCCCCCGCCCCCACCCTCCGTGATGGACTCCCCCATCACCTCTGTGGAGTCCTTCCGTTTCCTGGGCACCACCATCACCCAGGACCTCAAGTGGGAGCCGACCATCAGCTCCCTCATCAAGAAGGCCCAGCAGAGGATGTACTTCCTGCGGCAGCTCAGGAAAGCCAAGCTGCCTGCACAGATGTTGGTGCAGTTCTACACGGCCATCATCGAGTCCATCCTCACCTCCTCCATCACCGTGTGGTTCGCTGGAGCCACAGTCAGGGACAAACAGAGACTACAGCGCATTGTGCGCTCTGCAGAGGAAGTGATCGGCCGCAGCCTTCCATCGCTGCAGGACCTGTACGTCGCCCGAGCTCGAGGCCGGGCTGGTCGTATCACAGCCGACCCCTCTCACCCTGCACATGGACTATTCCAACCACTCCCCTCAGGCAGGAGGCTGCGGTCCATCAGGACTAGAACCTCCCGCCACAAGAACAGTTTCTTCCCCTCTGCTGTTGGACTCTTGAACACTTCTTAACCTGTCCCCCCGCCCTTTATAAAGTCACTTTACTGCCCATCATACGTCACTTTACTTCACTGTACTGCTGTCACCTTACATTGTGTGCACCATGTGCACTTGTATATTGTAAATAGTAACTGTAACTCTATTTTAAATTTAAATTTATTCTTTAGAAGTGTTTTTTATTCTTATTTTTATTATCTCTTTTTGACTGTTGCACTGAGCCAAAGCAATTTCCAAGTCTGTGACCTCCCGTTACTTACGTTGGCAATAAAAATGATTCTGATTCTGATTCTGATTCTGATTCTGATTTATGACTGGGTGTCATAAAGCTCAAGGTGGCACTGCTCACAAGTGCCACCTGGTGGTTGTTTGGGTCATTGCAGCATCACTGGGGAAAAAAATAAATAAAAGACGCGTGTTTCACACGTGAGTCTCGTGCTATTCACGCGTGAAAGGCAACAAAACGAAATGGGACCTACTGTACTTTACCAACAACTATCGTAATGCATCATGGGATAACCCTCGATCGCAAGTGAGCTCCGGACCTCACTTGCGCTCAAGGGTGGTTTTTAAGGTAGTGAGGGCACTCGCCTCTTTTCCTTCAGTATTGGGACACCCTACAACCCCTGCAGGCACTCGCAAAATCTAGGGCAAGGGTGCTTTTTAAAGGCAAGGGTGAGAATTGGGACGGGGCCTGCGCATGATTACATTAGGCAGAATATTAGAGAAGTCGGTAGGTTAATTAACAAAGCAAAAACGGCAGGGAAACTGAAAACAATTATGGATTTCAAGTGTGTCTCACGCGGCAGCGAAAGCAATCCAAGATGGCGGACATGAAGTCCGTGATTTTAAAAAAAAGTTTAAATACGAACAAATCAAGACACGGATGTCACTTTTAATGCAATATGAGGCGAGATGTTGATGGTTATATGTGTATTTTAAGAGTCAAATGTCCGTGTCAATTTTGGTTTAAGTACTGGTTTAAGTACTGGTTAAGTACTGCCTAGTGTTTACGACACTAGGCAGGTGGTGCTGTTTCAACAAATTGAAATTAAAGGGAAGTCGAATGTGCCGGTTCTGTTGCCTCTTTAAATGATTGCTTTGATTGAGGTGCCGGTGGAGAACAGAAGGGCATGTTCCATCTCCAACGATAACCCATATGTCTTCTCCCGACCAGGCGCGGACACTCGCATCAGGGGATGAGACTCCCTACGGCAAGTGGCCAAAGAATGTGGTGCAAAGCATCCAGACATGTTATCCTCAACCAGACTTACAAAGCACATAGCTACAGTTCTTGATATGAAAGAGAATTAAATGGACATACTAGAAAACTTCCTCGGCCATGACATTGGTATCCACAGACAATATTACAGACTGCCAGAGGGGACGCTGGAGCTGGCCAAAATCGGCAAGTATTACTGGCTATGGAGCAGGGACGGAATTCAAAGAAAAGAGCCTCGACCAGACACAAATTGAGCCTAAAGGTCAGAATCAGAATCAGAATCATTTTTATTGCCACGTAAGTAACAGGAGGTCACAGACTTGGAAATGGCTCAGTGCAACAGTCAGAAAGAGATAATAAAAATAAGAATAAAAAACACTTCTAAAGAATAAATTAAAATTTAAAATAGAGTTACAGTTACTATTTACAATATACAAGTGCACATGCACACAATGTAAGGTGACAGCAGTACAGTGAAGTAAAGTGACGTATGATGGGCAGTAAAGTGACTTATAAAGGGCGGGGGGACAGGTTAAGAAGTGTTCAAGAGTCCAACAGCAGAGGGGAAGAAACTGTTCTTGTGGCGGGAGGTTCTAGTCCTGATGGACCGCAGCCTCCTGCCTGAGGGGAGTGGTTGGAATAGTCCATGTGCAGGGTGAGAGGGGTCGGCTGTGATACGACCAGCCCGGTAATTCTTGATATAAAAATGTTAGTTTTTTCATTATTATTATTTTTAAGTTTTTTCTTTTTTTCTGTGCTACAGGGAGAGAAGAGCTGGCGGGCTAAAAAACCTCAAGCGCAGAACCTTCAATCGAGGCGAAAGTAGCTCAGTTGGTAGAGCATTGGCCTTTGAGCCTTAGGGTTGTGGGTTGGAGTCCACCACGGGATCTTCGCCACTGACTCCCACTGATGTCTGCTGTCTTTCTGTCCTTGGCAAGACACTTAACCTCTGGGAACACCAGCCACAGTGGGGCGGCTGCTGCTGTAAAGTGCCAAACTGCCGTTGTGTCCTTAGGCAAGACACTTCACCCCCATTGCCTAGAATGAGTCTGGTGTGTGTGTGAATGGTTGGTGGTGATCGGAGGGGCCGATGGCACAAACTGGTTGCCTCGCTTCTATCAGTGTGCCCCAGGGCAGCTGTGGCTACAGTAGTAGTTTATCACCACCGTGTATGGAGTGAAAGAATAATGACATGTAAAGCGTCTTTGAGTCTCAGTGCTATATAAAACGGCTGCTTGGCCCAAACCCTGGCAGTGTATATTTCTAATATCTTTTTTTTTCTCTCTGGGAAGTCTCACTGCCTGACCTTAGACATCGGACATCGAGTGGCAATAAATTCTATATAAAAAATAGAATCACCGCATTTCGAAAAAAATAAAATAAAATCAATAATACAATTTTCCAATCTTGTAAAAGATTTGTCTGTTTTGGAATGTTTTGTATTACTTGAAGTAGTCCTAGTAAAAAAAGATCAGAGTGCAGAGTAATTCTAAAGTGACCCCTGTATTGGCAAAAATAAAGCAAGATTTTAGGAGTTAAAACCGTGTCTGTTGGTTCCATATGGGACAAAAACGTGTGTGAGAGAAATCCTGTTGACATGGGTATGTGCTTGCCGAGTGCATTAAGGCATTCCCACCTGTGCCTGAGCCGTAGACAATGGTGTACTTCTCCACGTTTGTCAGAGAGGGGCGCCACAGCAGCAGAGCCCCAGCGTGCGACACGTTCACGGCCCTCAGGTCTGTGGGAGGATCCGGCACTGAGGAAACACTCGGAAGTGAACAACAGTGTTAAAACAGCCCATCGCAGCCTTAGTGCTTATAACGTCACTAATGCCTTCATGTGACATCAGCATGACCCAAAGAGCCATAGTTTCACATTATGGTGGAGCGCAGGTGAAAGATCTATCCTGGTAACTGTCAAAAGCCAGCTTCTCGTTTAGAGCTAATTTCTCTGTAATTCCTGGGAAAAAAATACTGTCCCAAAGATCCACATGTGTCTCTCTATGGTCTCTCTCTGGTCTCTATCTAGAAAGAGAGATACTTTAAATTCAGAAATTTAGGTGTCCAGAAGCAGCAAAAAGAAAATGGATCATTTTAAAACTCTAACAACAGTAATATTCAGCAACAGCCCTTCAAGTCCCAGCAGCAGAGATGGAGTAGCCTCTAGGTGGAGCAGGACAGATCACATGGTGGACCTCTTTGGTCTCTATATGGTTTCTAGTTTCTCTCTTTGGTCTCTCTCACATCGCTCTCTCTAGTCTAACCGTCTCTGTTCTCTTCCTCTGGTGTCTCTGGTTTCTCTCTATGGTCTATCCCTCGTCTCTCTCCGGTCCCTCTGTGGTCTCTCTAGAAGGGACTATCAGGAGTTAGCATAGTATGGCAGTTTTGTGAATCTAATCACTATCAAATAATGATCTGAGGAAACAACAGGACATTTGTTTTTTCGTCACAAATGTCTTGTTTCTGGTAGACTTGTATTGGCTCCGGTTCCAGTGTGTGTTTTGTGGACTCACGCGTGTGCAGAGTCTTGGAGATCTCGTCACTCTCGTCTAGACCCAGCACTGACATCACACTGACCTCATACGAGGAGCCAGGGGCCAGACGAGCCAGGTCTATGGAGGAGTTCCCCTGGTCCAGAGCAACGGACACCGGCTCACCTGCAAACATAGCAACGTCGTCCCAGGCTAAAAGCTGAGGTACCTAACTTTAATCTCTCTCTTTTGTAGTAGGCCCAACAGAAAAAGTCACAGTTTCTAATTAGAAATCTATCTATTGAGTAAGAACGAGCCCTATGACTCTCTAATGTTTGTTTCAACTTTTCTTTCCACAAATAGTGAAAAAACTTTAAAAACGTGTAATCTATCTTTAGGAATTGTATTGTGACAATAGAACAGGAATGTCCAAACTGCGGCTCGGGGGCCAATTGGGGACTACTGTGTTGTGTTATGTACTTCTCTGCCACAAAGACAAAGTAGTTTTTGAGGTACTTTCACAGTCTAATCCAGCCAACTTCAGCTCCACCAGTAGTAGTAGTAACGCTACACCGTGTTGAACAGCTCAGAACCTTTGGAATCCAGTGGTTGACTTTATTTATATGAAGACCACTTTGTTTGTTTGTGTTTGAGTCACATATGATCATCTTTGACACTAACATAGCTGTGGTGTGAACCAATATGGACATATATTCAACCCAATTTTAAAGCTCAGAACAGAAACCAGAAGAAACAGTTTTATGATCTGTGTTGTCGGCCCCCAGATAAGTCTGATGAAAGTAGCAATATGTAAGATTTTCATGTCAAGTCATCATTAAATGGCCCTAATATGTCAAAAGGCAAAAATAAATCATGCTCTTTTCCAATACTTCTCTAACTGATAACAGTAGTTCAGCCGAGATATTTGAATTTCAAAATTAGTTTTATAGCCCCTAAATCTTGGATTGTTTTCATTTTCTATGTCCCGCCCTCCACCGTTTCACCAATCAGAAAGGATGTGATCCGGGTTGCCAGAACTAACTGCATTGAACTAATCTCACTGGTTAAGTACCATGTGGCCACAGGACTAAGAAAGGTCTCGTTATGATTCTCAAATAATTAATGACTAAACAAGAAATAAAACAAGGATGTCTATCGAGGCCTTTGTGAAAAAGGTGTTGGTTATAGATTTGTTGTTGACAAAACTCTTGCATATTCAGATATTATGGTCCCAGCTGGATTCGTCAGCATATCTGGCATAAATGAGTCAGGGAGAGTGCAGTACCACTTTTGGCCAGATTTTTGCACACTGCTCCTTTAAAGTAGTCTTTTTCAACCACTAGTGTGCCGTGAGAAATTCGCCTACTTTGTCTAAAACTACATTCGCCAACGGCGCGTGCTGACTTGTTTAACCATGAAATACTTTTTCAAATCAGTAGATGACAGCAGATAGCTAATTACTTTGAAACTTAAAAATTTGATGCGACCACTGGATGTAACAGGTAGCTGGGAGCATTGTGGTGAGAAACGTAAAAATTTGATGCGACCACCAAATGTAAGAGGGAGTGCGGGAGCATTGTGGCTCGTAAGAAGTGAAAGTGATTGAGACGTGTTTGAGAAGGAATTATGCCATTTCTGAACAGGATTCTCATCCTCCGCTCTAACCCCAGGGCAGCTGAGGCCGCATTGTACTGACAGCCTATATTGTGAATATAGGCTATAGAGTGTATATATATTAGAGTATGTACAGTATATATTTTTAAAAAATTTCCTGGTGGTGTGCAGCGAGATTTTTTCAATGAAAAAAGTGTGCTTTGGTTAAAAAAAGTTTGAAAAACACTGCTTGACCTCACACCAAAAGGTGTGAACACCCCTGTGTGAAAGTACTGCTTCAATGGTGTTTCATTTACAAATGTGCATTTCTACGTAACTGAGAGAATGTGTCATGCCTCTACTATGTATTTGTACTCATCTAAATTGAACTTGAGACAATAGAAGAAGATGGTCCCACCTCTGTTGCACACAACCCATTATTATTATTGTTATTATTTAACCTATTTAGGCTTATTTGCACTGCCTTCCTGTACATTTTCGAATTGATTAAGATTTTAATGTTTGTTTTTAAAGCTTTGAATGGACTGGTCCCACAGTATGTCTCGGACCTCATCAAAATTCACCACCTGTCTTGCGTGCTGAGGTCCGAGATCAAGCTTCAGCTCGTGTCGCGGTGCCTCCTACATCAAAACAGCTTTCTCCTTGGAATGTTTTAAGTCTCGTTATGAAGCATTTTACTCTCTGGCTTTTAAAACTGCTTGAATTGAGTGGTCCTTTTTTTTGTAAATATATTTTGTTTATTTTTGATAATCACGTTTTTATTCAATTGGTTCTTTTTTTAAGCTGGAAGACGTGTATATTTTAATGTGTTAATTTCATCTGTGCAGCACTTTGTAAATGTGTTTTATATAAAATGTGCATAAATGTGTATAAATAAAGTGGATTGGATTTTGCTCGCTCCTTCTCACCTTCCTCTGTGTGTGTATATGTGAGTTTGAACCCAGACACCATGGACTGAGGTCTGGTCCAGGACACGGTGACGGAGTTATCGGTCACATGACTGAAGCGCAGATCTGAGGGCGGCTCCGGACCTGAAATAAACACACACAGTCATAACAGAAATGACACAAGAAACATTCACTCGCAAAAGGGCTGAGCACCAACCAGAGGAAGATTATAACACACTTCTGATATGCGTTTGTCCAACACTTAATTATTGCATTCATTTAACTAAATAAGTGTCTGATATAATTAGTTTTGTATTTCTATTAGGGCTGGCAAACCATACATATTTTTGTTGATTTATCACACATTAATGGTGAGTTAACTCATGATTAATTGCATATTTAACATTCTATTTCAAATCCACTCCATTTGAAGTTAAAGGAGATTATCAAATGTAATGACACATTGTCATTCATACCAAATGTACTTAAATGTACTTTTCTCACAACCTTTTACTTTTGGGCACAACCAACATGAGCTGTTAATGAAAGGGAAAATGTACGTACCCCAGCTTTAATTTAGCGAGTTTAGTGGCGTTTCAGGAGGAGACACGGACACTCCCTGAGGCTCCATAGTTCAGCTTCAGCTGTGTTTTGCGTGCACAGGTTACGCAAAGACACGCACAAAACATGCAGAGAATAGTTCTGTGTGTGTATGGTCTTATGACCCCGTCACCGCGGCGCAATTCACCGTGTTGTTGTTAGCGGCTCACAGCCAGCTAACAACAACCAGAGCTGCGGCCACGGAGGATGCGGACTTCAGTTCATAGCAAACAAGAGCAAGTGCCCCGTGGTAACGCGCATATTCTTTTAAAACTTGAATTCCCAGAGACCTGCTCTGTTGCCATCTCACACACGCATGTGTCCGACATGCGTTAAATGCATGCAATACATTTTATATTTACACATTCATAAAAAATGTAATTGAGTTAACGCGACCATTTTGACAGCCCTAATTTCTATATAAAACAATTGTTACAAGCGTCTCCCACCACTGTTCAAGCCAATTCTTTTGATCCGAAGTCCAGCCCAAAGTTAAACCTGTACTAAACTTTGGTTTAGTACGGTCAATGGAAATGTAGCCACATGCTACACCTCCATAGACTTTTTACAAGAACGAAAAATGCTCCATTGACACTGAAAAGTAAACTTCTTTCCCTCAGTTACAGTTTTTCAAACTCTTCCCTTTAGTTTAACTCTGTCTGGGATCCTGGGGTTTATATTTTGATGTTATCTTTAAAAATATCAAAGGACGTCGGCTAATAAATAACCATTCACAAGCTTTCTGTCTGGCCTGTGTGAGTTAGCCCTAATGGCAACGGGCTAAGGCAAGTAGTAAGTGGTAGAATCTTCTTGATAACAGTTGGCGTGAAGCCCTTTAGCACATCACAGTCAAGCGGAAACAAAGGCGCAGCTCAAACAGAAGCAGCTCTAACAGACACAGCTCTCACAGAGGCTGGACCACAAGACGCATGTATATATGCACACACATATATACAGTATACAAAATAATATACAACAAGAAGCTGAGAAGCACCTGCTGCGACAAAAACAGAATTAGAAGCGACGGTTCAGCTCTGAAAACAAAATAAAGACAGTGGGATGGACATACCACAGACTCAGCTCTAGAGCCACTCTCCGCGCCAACAAGGATTAAGACAACAGTTAAAGCATGATCACTGACGACAGCGTTTCCCCTTAAAACATATTATCTTGTTTCAGTTTGGTTTTACAAGGCCTGTTTTACTTATATTATGTCAGGGTATTAGTGTGGATGGAGCTATAACAATTTCAGGACTATGTTTCATTGACACTGAAAAGTAAAGTTTATTGTAGGAACAATGTATTTAGGCCTCAAAAAGTCGGTTTTCAGTCCAATTGAATAATGTTCTGACATAGTAAAGGCTCTAACCCTGTGCCTTTTTCTATTGAGATTCGACAAATATCTTACAGGGGAAACACCTGTATTTTGATGAATGGAAAGCAGGAGGTTCAGACACTGACAACACTTAGGTTTTAACCTGTGCTTATGACCAGTTTTTGAAGCCGGGACAGAACTTCGGAGCCTTCCCCCAGAACTGTGACCTTAAAATCTGACTCTGAGAAGATTCCGTCCAGCCTCTGGGATTCTCCCGGCCCCCCGTTTTCAAACACTTTCTTAGAATCCACGTTAGATTTTTCATTTTCATCAATCAAATGTGGCTGATCTGTTGAGGTGGTGGTCAAAGCTGGATCCATTTTGCTTGATGCTGACAAAAAACCATCGCTGCGTCTTACATTTGGTGCGGTGTTGTCAAGAAATTGCTGCAAATGTGTTTGTCGTGCCACTGTCGGATTGGCTTGTCCGCGATGATGTATGGACAATCCTTCCTTTCTTGCAATTTCCTGAGGCTTAATTTTGGCTAAATCCGCATTTCTCACTAAACTATTTCTACTGATGATTGCAGCTTGATTGGGTTGTGGTATGTTTCCTATTGGCTTGATACGCCTTCTTGATTCTAAAGCACCAGTATTCTTTTGTTTTTCGTCCACCATATCTGGTATTTCTTCAGTTTGGTTCGAAATACTCTTATCTTGTTCAACTGATTTCACTGGAATCTTCTTTGCAGCTTCGACAATTTCTGAATTTATTCTCAAAGTCCCTTCAGCCACATTACCTGAACCACTATTTTCAATAATTCGTTGCTCAGTTTGTGGATTTTTTTTTACATTTCCTGACTTTTGAACGTTGTGTTTCCCAAAATCTGTCTCTAATGTGTCAAACCCTTTTGCGCTCATTGTAATCGTATGTTGACTGTGTGATGTTGATACTGGTTCTCTATCACTACTGACAGCCAATTCTTCTCCTTGTCTGGTCATTGAATGATCATTTTCAACAAATGTTGGATCACCATCTGAGCGTGTATCTTCAGAACTGCCTTGAATATTTATGTCTGCCACAGTTTTCTGATTTTGGAGCCTTTCCGCTGTCCAATTTTTGCGCATATGCCCTCTTAGAGGTCTTAAAAATAATCGTGACCTATTCTGAAATGGTCCTATGTACCCATTGGGACGTCGCATGAAGGCAATTCTTGAGCGGTTAAAACTGGTCCTAGCAAATTTTAAATTATCTCTAGCTGGGGCTTCATTGGTTTGATTAGGAGTTGCGTAGGTGGGAATACTTTGTTGAGGAAGTCGAAATGGTCGTCGAAACAACCTCTTATTGGGATTGTGAAACGCTCCCAAGTTTGGTAGATCTTGTGTTTTAGCTTGCTCCAGTTCTGCTTCTTCAGAGTCTTTATGGTTTTCCCGACTCAAAGACATTTTTTCCATTCCATTGACTGGCATATCAGTTGAAAGTACTTTAATTTTACTTTTTGGCGTGAAAGACACACCAGTAGTCCTTGAAGCAAGTCCGGTCATGTTCCTTATCTGCGTCAGATGTGGTCGTAACCTGCGTACAACTTTCCGATTAGGGTTAGTTCTTTGAAACGTTGGCGATTGCCTTTCATTTTCCTTTTCCTCAAAACTTTCTTTGTCAATGTCTTCTATGACAGTTTTAGAATTGGGAAAAGCTGAATCCTGGGTTGCAGAAGTGGGAGAAGCATTTAGCGATCTTTCCAAAGACATAATCTCAGGTCTATGTGAATATCTAACTGACTTTTTCAGCGTAGACAGTGGTTTTAAGCCTTGCATAATTTGTTGGGCAACTACTTCTGCATTTTTATTGACGTTGGAAGGTTCGGACAGATGAATGGCGAAAGTTGTCACATTTAAATTGTTAAAAGTGTCTGACAACAATTTCTGCAAAGGATGAGGTTGCGCTACGCTGTGATCTTGCGATACTTCTAAGTTTTTATCTTGTGTAATAACTTGCCTCGGTACATGTTTTGTTTCATTGGCTTTTTCGGCTTGTATTTCCATTTCTGGATCCGAGCAATGGCTGGAATCTACCTTATGGCTTACTCTTCCATGTGTCACTTTAACACGATTAAGGCATGTCCGTTTTGGCTTTAGAATCGACTTATCTATGCCAGCCTCTCCTTCCTCCTGGTTAATTTCCACATTAGACCCTAAAACATTCCCAGATGCCACCTTTCCAGTTAGAACACGGCTCACGTCGCCACCAGACAAAGGCATAACTTGGATTCTTCTGTGTACCTTTGTAATGTTGAGTTTAGGTACGATTGATTCAGGCTGTTTTGTATTTCTCAAGTTGTTTTCGAATGGGAGTTTGTCACTGTCAGAGCGTTGCAGAGTCAGAGCTGGGACCAAAGCGTTTGTCGGCCCTGAAAATATGAGAAAATCAGTTTATGGAATAGATTAAGAAGCAGCTGTTATCCATCACTGGGTCTCATCTGTAATTGTAAATGCAAAATAGACAACAGATTTTCATGATTGAAATATGAAACATCTTGTGTGATATCATTGTTCCTGTTTAATGGGCAAAGCTGTTTGTTACAGGGATGGTAAAAACGGTTACCTGTGAAAGACAAATCATATATCAAGGGTTTGTCCCCAAGCCAGGATACCTTTCTTTCAGACCACAAAAAAATAAGCTATAAAAAATAAGTCAATGTAACTGTTTCCTGGGTCTAAAACAGTTTGAACTGGGTCTGGTCTGGTCCTTGTCAGGAGCTAGTCTGGCCTGGGTCTGGCCTGGGTCTGGGTCTGGTTTGGGTCTGGTGTGGTCTGCTCCTGATCTGGCTCTGGTCTGGGTTCCCCCAGACATTCCCCCCGAAAATTGTATTTAAACAGATTTATTAAACAGATGTATTAAAAGGTTTTGAATCACTTCACTCACTTTTGATTTTCTCACTTCTCTCGCTTTTAATCAGCGCAAAAACTGGTGATTACAATTTGAAATATGATAGAATGTTTGATGAACAGTGTGTTGCTATGGTAACTAGCACTTGCGCTTCTCTGGTGGAAAACCAACCTAAGCAGAACCAGTCAAGAACCATATTATTTAAAAGGGGCTTTAACTGTCATAGAATGTGACCAAAATGGCTACAAATACATTTTACATTCAAATGAATTGAGCAGTCAAAATGACGGCTCTGGGAGCTACTTAATGAAGCCCCAGCTCTCCAGTCCAGTTACCTATTTCTGAAAGAGAAATGTGTAAGTTAGAGTTAACGTTTAGCTGTTGGATAAATGTTTCTCCATCTGTAATAATAAGAAAATATCTTTTGTCAAAGAGAAGAGTCCACTGAAACAGGAAGCAGAATTTACAAATGAGGTATTGGAGTTTGCTTTCCCTTCAAGACCTCTGAAAGTGACCGAGCTCCATTCAGTATTATCCAATAGGGCAGGAGAGCCTGTTCAAGTGAGCTTTAATTCTCATGTTTGAGTTAAGCCTGGTTCACACAGCAGGATAATTAGGCCGATTTAAGACCCGATTTACCCCTAACGACAATCTTAAGAACGCTCCGATTTTCGTTAAAAAACGAATCCTGCCATGTGTGGTGTGTTAAGACTGCGCTCGTCACTCAGAAGGACTTCAGAACTGCTCTGATCTCAAATTGGGGATGTCCAACATGTTGGATTGTTTTGGCTCGATTTCTCTTTGTGTGTGGTGTCCTCCGGGGACAGACGAGCGCGTTGCCAGGTGACTGCGGCGTGGAGCCAATCAGAGGACGAGGTGGCGAGGCGGCTAGGAAACACCGTAAAAAAATCATAACAGTCAGTGGCATAAATACATGTATTTAAAGTCCGAGCTCGCGTTGTCTCCATTTCTCTGATTGAAATAACCAGAGAAAGTGTCACACACTTTGGTCGTACAGTGTGTGACACTGTACCACCAAAGTGGTTAGACCCTTGATTGTTTTTATCTCTGTGTATGGGGTCTCTCAGGTTAGGAAAATCGGCCGACAATTTTAAAATCGTCTCGTGTGAACCAGGCTTTAGCTCTAATCCTCATGTTTGAGTAGCTCTAATTTACATAATTGAAATAGCTCTAATCCACATGTTCGAGTTCTTACCAGGCGTAGCGTGAGTGGTGAGTGGTGCGCTGTGGCTCTGCCCACTCTCTGCCACCAGTGTGATGTCATAGCGAAGCCCCGCCCTCAGCTGCGTGATGTGGGCGGAGCTGGTGCCAGGGTCAAATGTCAGGTCTTGGCCACGCCCTTCCGTTCCGTCGCCAGGGGAGACGCTGAGCCGGTAGCGGTCTATGGCGGAGGGCGAGGGCTCCCATTGGATGACAGCAGAGGAAGAGGAGGTCTTCACTACACGCAGGTCTGAGGGGGGGGCAGGCACTGCAGGCACACAGAAGGACAATAACAATATAACAGACTGTATAGAGATGGACCAATAGAGAAGTGCTCATGGATGGAATTTGCTCTGGCTCCTTTAGACTTTTATAGACATGTAAAAGTAATCTCCTTTAGCTCAATAATCGCTTGTGTCACACTCACCATTTTTGGCTTTAAAAAACCATGGTTTAGCACTTCTTGTGATCCTGTGTTCATATTGTTATATAGTCATTGTAAATCCAGATATAATCAATCAGGAGCCTTTCACCACTGAATGAAAGAAAGGTGTATGTGTACCAGTTTGTGATGGGCAGGGCTGAGTGGAGCAGTCACGTCTGCCCTGGGACAAGGCTTACGTGTGGTGAGCGGGGCTTACATGTGGTGAAGGAGGTAGAGCTCGGGGCCCCTCTGCTGTCTCCCGTTGCCCCAGTGACGGTGATGGAGTAGGTCTGCGCAGGGGCAAGTCCGGTCTGCCTGAAGGAGGAGAGCGGGCCAGGAACCTGAGCCTGGACCTGAGAGCCATCCTTCTGTGGAGACACACACGCAAACACGTGCACAGACACACACACACAAGTCTTAATAAACTGTTGTTCAGTCAATGGTGGTAAAGAACATCCAGATGTAGCGAGTCCAGCAAGGGTGTCGATTATATGGCCCGCGGCCAGAACTGGCCCGCCAAGCAATATTTGATACGGCCCTTGGCTCATTTATGTAAAATGATAAAAAAAATAAAAATAAAAAAAAAGATTTACAGTGGGTCAAGTACCTCTGTAGTGCTCCTATCAGAACGTGCAGAGACACCTTCAGCAATATGTCTCTGTCAAAAAGGTTAAAAAATTGGCATTGTTTGTCAGGTTTTTCAAACAAAGTGGACTATTTCTTACTGTATTTGTTCTTGGAGGTGAATGAAACACTGCTTGTTGAGCATGCAACAAACTACGAGACTCTGCGAAAAATACAGCAGTTTGAGCGGAGAATTTAGAAGACAGAAGATAAAGGTGTCTGGCCCTGAAGAAACAGCAGTCTGTTTGTGCGCAGAGCGAGAGGTTGCTGCTGTAAAGGGAAGCTTCCTGAGTGCTAACAACACAGCATTAGTATCGCAGCCGGTACAGTGGGAGAGAGTTTATCCAAACTGTCATACAGGCTGCAGACTGTGTCCTGAGAAACGACACGCTTTTACCAACATCATGTTGAGGTCGTGTGGCTTTTTCTGTTGCTGTTGATAAGAGACTGATGTTTTAATGATGTCGCATATTCATTTGTGATGTTACTGAAACTTTGATTTTAGCGTTGGTGCCGGTGTCGGATACCACGAAGGCTGAGGACACTATCAGAGCTGTTGCCGGTGCGTTGGACTGAGTAGGTGTGGAATGGTCCGGCGCTCTCAGCCTGGTAAGTGTTGAGACAAAACCGCAAATGGAGGTGATGACTTTTGGATATTTAGTGAGTTTGACGCGCACATCCAAGTCTGAGTAGGGTGCAAATAAGTTTAAAATTGTACTGTGAAAAAAAAGAGATGACTCTGCACAGCTTTCGCTCCCAAGATAATTTAATTATCACCACACGATGTGACGTTTCGGGTGACACCACATGTCTGATGAAGGGTAGTGTCACCCGAATCATCACATCGTGTGGTGATAATTAAATTCTCTTGGGAGCGAAAGCTGTGCAGAGTCATCTCTTTTTTTTCACAGTACAATTTTAGACTTTTTTTGCACCCTACTCAAACTTGAATGTGTGGATCTGTAGACACTGCTGCAGTCGTTAAGAATGGATCACGTTATGGAAGTTGTTTTTTTTTATTTCAACTGAATGTCAAAGATGGTTAGTTTGTTGCTTTCTCTGTGACAATAACATAACCATGGACCCTACCATACTGAAGATGGTTAATCTGAGGTTAGACTTTATTCTATCTATCTACTGTACCATTGTGAGCAAGTTTTCCCTGTAATGAGCCTTAATAAAACAAAGCTGCACTCAAAGCTAACACATAAATATTAATATAAATATTGTGAAATGCCATTTATAACGTAAATACTTCATTTGCACAATGAAAAACTTACTGTTACATTTAAGTGTTTCTTTAATTTAGGTTTTTCTTCTTCCCACTCCATTTCGAGCTCATGGTGGAATTTGTGTATAACAACAATAATGGCTATGTAAATATATAAGCTTGTTTTATTTTAAATTTTTTTCGGCACAGGTGCATCAGTGATGTGAGTTGTTGTTGTGTGGTCTGTCCACTAGTGCACCATTGTGAATTTGGATGCTTTTTGTATGTACAAATGTGTACTCTTATAAGCTCGGAAGGAACAAATAAATATATAAACATATAATATAATAATTAGTAACAGATTTACAGTTAAAAATTAGTATTAGACAGTGTTCTATATTATTTTTTGTGTCCTAACTGTTGATTCCCTGATCTGTGTTGGTGATCTCAATGGTTTTGTTAAGTCCTCTGAGATGACTACTGTTGTGATTTAGGGCTATACAAGAATAAATTGTATTGTATTATATTGTATTGTACAGTGTTATAAAGGACGTTTTAAATAAATGTGTTTATGTGCACAAAAAGTTGGACTGTTTTTGGATATTTTTGTAGAGAGTTTTCTGGTCCGGCCCCGTTGAGATCCAATTATGTTGTATTTGGCTAACAGACCAAAATGAGTTTGACACCCCTTGTGTCCAGGGTTCAATCCGACCAGGAGAGATTTAAGTATTGGTGATGGGGAGGAGGAGGGTTGCTGCATAAATGAAAGCTTGATGCGGGCAGTGCTTAAATGCCAGTTGAGTGTGATTGCTGATGCAGCGCCACAGCGGTGGGAGGACTGAGTGCGGATAGTGCACACATCATTTCTCCAAACAACAATGATAACGCTACAATTAAAGACGCAGTCAATGAATTTTTCCAGACGCATTTTTTTGAATATTGTGGGAAAGCGTCACTAAACCCTAAAAGTAGTCAAGTTATCATGTGTTTTCAAATGGAATGGAATTGACCAGATTCCTACAGTCTCCAAAAAATGGATAAAAAATATTTTGGAGCGGACTGATAAAAATAAACCAATGGGATTTGTTCATCCCCAATGAACCGATGGGATGCGTTTACCCCCTTCACCCTCTTCTTGTTTCTTGCGAGTACACGCACCTGAGTTATTGGATTTTCTAAAACTTAAAAGGACTGAACAGAAAATGTCAATTTCACAATTGCCACCCACTCTCCCTGTTGTGACAAAGACAAGAAAATGCTGAATGTTTGGTTTGGTGGAGAGGTGAGGGGAGTGGGGGAGTGGTTTCGAGTTGGTGCTACAGCTAAGCTAACAAAATCGCTTACTGTAACAACACTATGAATGAATAATGTGGAACATACAAGACCTTGCACCTTTCCGGTTCAAGCCTGTTGTATTTGTAGCAGGTACAATTATCTCACATGCATTTTTTAACTCTGTCACTGTCAGCATTTTCAGACAACTAGTGTAAAAGAGTTCAGTACATTTTGGCTCAGATGAACAGAATATTTTGGCTCAGATGAGGGTTTAGAACTGATCATGTGATTCTGCTGCAATCCTTTCATTGTGTGTGTTTCTGCAGCTGCAATGACATCGTCTCTTTGTTTGCAACGCTGTTTATGTGTGTCCACGGAAACAGCCCTCGCAGTCACATGTGCCCAGACGGCGGCCATCTTTTTGAACCCGCCTCTCTCTGAGACCAGACCAAGACTAGAGTTACTAGAGAATCGAGGGAGACCAGAGAAGGAGAAACCAGAGCGAGACCAGAGAGAAAGACCAGAGAGAGAGCAGAAAGAGTCCATAGAGAAACCAAAGAGGGGGACTTGAGAGGGACCAGGGATAGACAAAACAATAGAAAAAACAGCAATAAAAATATTTACAGGTAAGTATCCATCTTTGTTAGAGGTCACACATGATGATGATATCGCCTCTATTTGTCTGACGAGAAAAAAACATACTTTTTGGAAACAGAAACTCAAAACAGAGACAGGTTTCCTAATGTCTCTCAGCTGGTCTGGGAACGCCCTGGATTCCCCTGATGAACTGGGAAAATCATTTCAGATTATACAGAACACAGATTTGTGGTTTTATTCTGTACATATCTTAGATTTTATATAAATGAACAATGCTAACCTGTTAGCTCCGTGAAGCATAGGGAAGTGCTCATGGACAAATTTTGGATCCAACTCGCTCTGGCTTCTATTGACTAACACAAGTAAACTCCTCTCGCTCAGTAACCATTTGTATCATTTTTTGATCATTTTAGGCTTGAAAAAATGTGTGGTTTAGCAATGTGAACAATGTGTTTAGATTGTGATATTGTCTTTGTAAATTCAGATATAAGCCATATAAAGAGTAGTCAATCAGATGCCAACATTCACGGGGGGAAACTCCAGTTTGCCGAAGCAATCATCTTGGCAACACATCTGCCCGTTACGGCGCGAAACGCTGTCGGAAGAAATGCCTGTATAAGAAAAATGGTTCCAGCTAGATTATGTTCAGCTTCCCTCTTTCTGCATTAAAGCTAACACTATGGTGATGTCACAGTCTGTCAATCCACTCCTGATATACTCTATGACAGTGCTCACCAACCTATTTGAGCCACGGCACACCTTTTCCGTTGAAAACAATCACATGGCACACCACCAGCTGAAACTCTGCAGCATTTATGAACAAAGAAAAAAAAAGGTCATTGTCTTCAAAATCCATTATATAGAAAATCAAACATAATTTTCTTGTTATTTTGACCAATTATATAATGTAATGTTTATGTTATGTAATTATTGACCAACTTTGTAGAGTGTGTGTTCTGCTCTGAGATTCTGCAGCAAATAAATTGCGCATGGGATCCGTAGTTTTCTGAACCTGAATCCATACTTGTTGGTAAGTTAAAAGAAAAAAACTCATATATATATATATATATAGACCCCTGACCCCTGAACACAGTCCAACACATCCTCGCCCCTGTCCTCCGTCATCTCTGAAGGTTCCCACGGTTTGAATCATTTGCTTTATCAAACACAAGTGTTTGGATTCACTAAACTCACATGTGTCACGGAGCGGCAGCACTCATCTCTTTGGCCAAAATAACAAGTCATAAGACCAGAGTGACACAAGAGATTCCAGAGACACCATAGAGACCAGAGATATTAGAGAGACCAGAGAGACTAGACCTGAGACCAGACCAGAGAGAGTGAGGAGAGGAGTGAGAAGCTGGGACAGAGCTCAGATAAGTGAGTGTTTAAACTCACATATGTCATGGATCAGAAGCTTTCATCCCTTTGCCCAAAATAAAAACGAGTCATTTAGGCTCAGATAATTTTGGCTGAAGATTTGGGAAGCGTCGGCAACATGTGCTCAATATATAGTTATTGTTCACTTATCTTGTTCTGTGTGCTCCAACTTTTCTGTAACTGGTGATGCAACACTGAAATGTCCTCACTGTGGGACGAATGAAGGATCTCTTCATCCGTCTCTTAGAGTAGAGTAGAGTAGAGTAGGGCCTTATCACTCTCTTCTCCATGTTCCAACCAAACACTGTTCCTCACAACAAACAGACCTGCAGTTGTTTTTAGCTCCATCCATGCTATTATCAGGAACACAAACACATACGTAGCCCCGCCCCTTTTGTCTAAATGCCCGTCTCAAACACCATGCCAGTGACAAAACCTTACACTACTTCAAGTTCCAAGCCAAGGTACTTTCCTGAGTGTACTTACCATGGAAGAAGCTGATTAGAGCCAACACGCTCCATGTGGATTAGTGCTAACTCAAACAGGATACACAAGGATTAGAGCTAACTAGAAAATAAAAAGATATTCCAACAACTTCCTCCTTGTCTGCTCATGACGTGATGATGGAATTGAATTGGTACCTGGCTCGTGAAGACAAGGCCGTAGGACTCATACTGGACCCGAGGCTGGGTCCAGACCACAGAGACTGAGGACTGGGTGAGGTCTATGGTGCGGAGCTGCTCCACCGACGACATCACTGCAGAGAAACATGAGCCCCAATCACATAAACACACAACTAGTTAAGCTCTTCTATATCTGCTGTCCTTCTGTCAGATCCAGTTCAAACAGCTCTTCTATCTGCTTTCATGTCTGCACTAGTTCTGAGCCCAGTGTGAAGCGCCAGGGGGAGAGCAGCTCTCTTTTGAATAAAGCCACAACATAAACACGATGATTGAGATGAAAGTCTGTGTGTGTTTTAGATTTTAACGACAAAAGAAAAGTCACAATCCAGACCAGGACTAAATTAGGACTCAGCCAGGTCTGGACCAGGTCCTTTGTGTCGGTGTCAACTGTAAAAGGAAATTCTCGGATCTTCTGTCTTAACATCACTCTCCGTTTGCACACGTGTAACGCCAAAACAGGTCTGGTTTACTCCGTTTAAGTTCATGTTTAGTCCTGGTTTAGTCCCTGTTAAGTCAAAGTTTAGTCCAGGTTTCCAAGAGGTTGGGACCATAAACACTGAGACTCGAACCAGCCGCGGCGCCAGGGGTTGGCCTGGGTAGGCCGGTGCCTACCAGTTTTTTTCTTGGCCTACTCAAATTTGTTCTACGCCTCTCAAGTCATTAGCCTTTTTTATTAAAAGTCATAATTTAAATATTGTTATTTTTAAACACAAATTATTGCTAATGCCTAAATGTTGCGTTCTAATGTTTTTAGAAAGTATAACCCCCTGAGCGTCATCACGTTCCTACGTTGCTTCAAATATAGTCCTGTTTATTGGCTGAACAATTTTGTCCGATATCATATCACACAGCGTGAAGCGAGAACAACCAGCTATTCCTCATCTTAAAGATTGACAACGCTCTCAAAACATTCACAACAGAGCAGCCTTTTTCATTTTAATATTAAGAAAGTTCAGCGTGAACTTTGTGAGGTAGAGTAGCCAGAGGCCCGGGCCCGTAGGTCCCAGAGGAGGAGAGCGCGGTCAGGCCAGGCTCGCCTCGCACTGATGAGGTAAACTCTAGGCCTGTGTGAGACACACTGTGGGCCTCACTGTGGGCCTCACTGTGGGCCTCATGTATGAAACCTGCGTACGGCCAAATCAGGGTAAATGAGGCGTACGCAAAATATTACACTTTTCCGCATTTATCAATCTGGACGTGAGCGTACAATACGCAAAAAATATACGCCAGGTCTGGAGGTGGTGTAAATCTATACGCTGATCTCAACCTTCGGCACAACACGCCAAAACACGCATGAAATTCAAGATATGGACAACAATAAACATATTCCCTCTGGCAAAATTATATGCTGTGTTTTCATTGAGGATCATGTTTCAAAATTTGAATTTGCGCATCAGAAAAAGTCTAAGGGAAACACGCAAACTTCGAATAAATCACAGCTCATGATGAGGACCCTCTATTAAATCTGACTTGTGTGTGTATTATTTTGATCTGTATGTTTTTAAAATGTGAAGCGCTTTGTGATCCTGGACAGTCAAAGGCTCGATATAAATACACTTTAAGCAACAGGGATGTGTGACCCATCTATTGCTGTGGCAGGCTCTGCGCTGCGTAATTACGCACGGCTATTTGTATTCCTCATTCACATCTGGTAAAGCAATGTGTTATTTCATTAGATTTGTGTAAGCCTCAAACAGACACACACCCCAATAACGCATCGATGGTATTGCTCACTCACAAATGTCTCACTGCCCTGTCCAGAGTGCGTCGCGAGTGCCGTGAGAGGTCGCGCCACATGTGCAGAAGTTTTGGCTCCAGAGTTTCTTTGTGAAATCTGGACCGCAAACGCTCTCTGAAGTGTACAGCGCTTCAATGCACACTTCTACCCCGAGCCAGGCTGCGTCCAAGACGCTGCAGACGCTTCATTCATGAGAGCCACCGTTGCATAATATATATGAATTAATTAATTAATTCAATCAATCTTTATTCACTTCTACAATTCAAGAAAGATTTTTCTAATTTATGAAACCATTTTGGCAAAGTTGTTCAAAACGCAGCTGAATATATAGCGCATATTTATTATTACATAAACATGAACAAACAAACGTGCCTTTTGAGGCTTCCAAACAGTCTTTTTGGCCGGCTTCCTGCTGACCTGTCACGAAGACGGGGCGTGAAACACGCGATTGCTGCATAATTCTAGGCGTGACTAAATACGTTCGTATTCAGCCGATTTATCAACACCCGCAGCTGCGTACGCTCAGATCTGGGCGGATCTCACATGTTCATAAATCCGACGTTGGATTTTGCGTAAATGGAATATACACCCAAAATGTACAGCTTTTTCTACGCAAGTTTCATAAATGAGCTTGTGTGCATGTGCGCGCGTGAGTGCGTGTGCGTGCGTGTGTGCGTTTGAGCCATATTCTTTGAAACCCCAATTCCAGTTAGCCCTTGTAGTTTGCAAGCGAATTTGGCCTACTTACTAATCTGCAGGCCTACCCAAAATTGCAAACCTGGCGCCGCTACTGACTCGAACACCGGTGATCCATGGAAAACACCCCTATTACTACCCTCTAGGAGTGTGACTATATCGATATGTTGATGTACAGTATCATGATACGTTCTCACGCAATCGATTATCGATATGCTTTTGCAAAGTATTGATTTAAAAAAAATATATATATGTATATGCATCTTTTTTTTTTAAGCATCTTTTTTCTACCATTTCTGTAGACTGTTCATATTGATTTAAAATTTTTACTAAAATGTGCAGATTAAAAGGCATTTTTGCCTGTTCGCTTTAAAGTAGCAGTATGTAATATTTGCATGTCAAGTCATCATTAAATGGCCCCAATATTTCAAAAGGCGTTATTAAATCATGCTCTTTTCAGTAGTTTAGCCGAGATAATTGAATATCAAAATTAGTTTTACAACCCGTAAGAGTCATTATTGTTTTCATTTCGATGTCCCACCCTCCACCGTTTCACCAGTCAGAAAGTCCGAGATCTGGGTTGCCAGAACTCCCCGTGGCTAGCTAATCTCACTGGTAAAATGACATGTGGCCGCAGAACTAAAATAGGTCTTATTATGACTCTCAAATCAACAATGAACAAGGATCTATATCGGGACCCCTTTGAAAAATTGAGACAGCGGATAAAATTGTTTCGTGTGAAGCAAAACTTGCTGCTTTGAGTGCGTTCTTCATTGACAGTTAAAGTACCTACCTTGATTTTACTTAATATTGTATGCAATGGTGGTCTAATGGTTAAACCATAGTGCTGTCATGCCAGCGATCCGGGTTCAAGGCCGAGAGGAATCTGTTTGTCTTTAAAGGAATAGTTCACCGTTTGTACATACTGACATATGTTCTTACCTTACCTTAGACTAGTTAATACGTACCTGTCTGGTCCTAGTCCGTGCGCTCTGTCATGCAAACGGAGCAAAAACGGGAGCACAAATGCAGCCTCCTCTGGTCACTGTATAGTACCCAAAAGGTAGCTCCCGCTAGAAGCTACCAAACTCTTCCAAGTGTTCCCTATTAAATGTATATAGTTACGTGACGTGTTACACTGCAAAGTATAGTAACACAGAAATGTAACAGTCGATTTTCTCAGCGGATAAAACGGGTACTATATTGTGAGGCGTAGTAATCTGAGGTGCGCTACGTCCGCGCACTAACTTCTCTCCGGAGACTTCTCTCTCGCTCACTTCCGTCAATAGAAGCAGCGTGACTTGTAATACACACAGTAGCAGCGAGAGAGAAGTCTCTGGAGAGAAGTTAGTGCGCAGAGAAGTTAGGAGCGCTACGTCCGCGCACTAACTTCTCTCCAGAGACTTCTCTCTCGCTGCTACTGTGTGTATTACAAGTCACGCTGCTTCTATTGACGGAAGTGAGCGAGAGAGAAGTCTCCGGAGAGAAGTTAGTGCGCGGACGTAGCGCACCTCAGATTACTACGCCTCACAATATAGTACCTGTTTTATCCGCTGAGAAAATCGACTGTTACATTTCTGTGTTACTATACTTTGCAGTGTAACACGTCACGTAACTATATACATTTAATAGGGAACACTTGGAAGAGTTTGGTAGCTTCTAGCGGGAGCTACCTTTTGGGTACTATACAGTGACCAGAGGAGGCTGCATTTGTGCTCCCGTTTTTGCTCCGTTTGCATGACAGAGCGCACGGACTAGGACCAGACAGGTAAGTATTAACTAGTCTAAGGTAAGGTAAGAACATATGTCAGTATGTACAAACGGTGAACTATTCCTTTAACTATATAATATCACATCCTATGTAATTGCTCAAAAAACGGTTTAAAAATTTAAAGATGTTTTTTGCTGATTATACAGTACAGACCAAAAGTTTGGACACACCCACCCATCTCAAGAGTTTTTTATTTTCATCATGATTATCAAAATTGTAGAATCACACTGAAGGTCTCAAAACAATGAATTAACTCATGTGTAATTATGTACGTACCTAAAAAAAAAAGTATGAATCAACTGAAAATATGTCTTATATTCTGGGTTCCTCAAAGTAGCACCGGCTGGTGTCCTGGTGCAGTGGTAACAACCTGGAGCTGAACGCCCAGAAGACAGTGGAGATGATTGTGGACTTCAGGAAGAGCACTGTCCCCCCGCCCCCACCCTCCGTGATGGACTCCCCCATCACCTCTGTGGAGTCCTTCCGTTTCCTGGGCACCACCATCACCCAGGACCTCAAGTGGGAGCCGACCATCAGCTCCCTCATCAAGAAGGCCCAGCAGAGGATGTACTTCCTGCGGCAGCTCAGGAAAGCCAAGCTGCCTGCACAGATGTTGGTGCAGTTCTACACGGCCATCATCGAGTCCATCCTCACCTCCTCCATCACCGTGTGGTTCGCTGGAGCCACAGTCAGGGACAAACAAAGACTACAGCGCATTGTGCGCTCTGCAGAGGAAGTGATCGGCCGCAGCCTTCCATCGCTGCAGGACCTGTACGTCGCCCGAGCTCGAGGCCGGGCTGGTCGTATCACAGCCGACCCCTCTCACCCTGCACATGGACTATTCCAACCACTCCCCTCAGGCAGGAGGCTGCGGTCCATCAGGACTAGAACCTCCCGCCACAAGAACAGTTTCTTCCCCTCTGCTGTTGGACTCTTGAACACTTCTTAACCTGTCCCCCCGCCCTTTTAAAGTCACTTTACTGCCCATCATACGTCACTTTACTTCACTGTACTGCTGTCACCTTACATTGTGTGCACCATGTGCACTTGTATATTGTAAATAGTAACTGTAACTCTATTTTAAATTTAAATTTATTCTTTAGAAGTGTTTTTTATTCTTATTTTTATTATCTCTTTTTGACTGTTGCACTGAGCCAAAGCAATTTCCAAGTCTGTGACCTCCTGTTACTTACGTTGGCAATAAAAATGATTCTGATTCTGAAAATGATTCTGAAGAGGTAGTGACCTGAAATGGTCTTTAAACGGTCTTGAAAGAGTTCCCAGAGATGCTTAGCACTTGTTGGCCCTTTCGCCTTCACTCTGTGGTCCAGCTCACCCCAAAACCCTCTGGATTGGGTTCAGGTCCCGTGACTGTGGAGGCCAGGTCATCTGGCCCAGCACCCATCACTCTCCTTGTTGGTCAAATACCCCTTGCAGACTGTGAATCTACAGTCAATAGTCATGAAAAGAAAGGACACTCATTGAATGAGAAAGTGTGTCCAAACTTTTGGTCTGTACTGTAGTTTAATTGTAAAAAGAATCATTTGAGACCACATGTACCCCAATTATAATAATGTCTAATAATAAGGAATACATAAAATTGAAGGGTGATATGCTCTGGAGGAAACCCTGATGTTGATACACTGAAGAAAAATGTTCCAACGTTCATTCTTCCCACTCCTATTTTGGACATCAATTGCTTATTTGTTTTGCACAATCTATGTATAATTACATTGCTTTTATTTTGTTTTTCTTATCTCAAATGTCCAAATAAATAAAACATTCATTCAAAACATTCATTTAACATTAGCACTGCTATCATGGCAATGTGAATGGAGACAGACAAACAACTGATTCCTTGTGTTTGCTGCTGGATTTGGTGTGTATCTGGCAACCTGAGTCAGGGAGAGTGGGAGAGGACTACAAAATATTGACTGTGACTGCAGTACCACTTTTGGCCAGATTTTTACATAATACTCCTTTAATGTTACACATGACACTTTTTTCACTTAATTTATGCCATAAATATAAGACAAAGATTATTGTAGGTATATTTTTTACCAATATATCGATAATCACAGCATCATCATATCGTGAGATATTGATTATCGTGAGCTTTGTATCGCACATCGTATCGTATCGTGAGGTACCCTGAGGTTCCCACCCCTACTACACTCTGCTCATCAGCTTTGTGACGAATTGATGATGCACAATTTGAGCATCAATCTTCGGTTCGTGCTGCAACCCGCCTTCACACCCGTGTCTCTGTGCTTCTCCCTGATTGTGTGTGTGTCTTCTTACCCATGTCACAATTCTTTCCACCGTATCCCTCGCCGCAGCGCTCGCACTCATCTCCTGTGAAGCCGCTCTGACACACGCATTTTCCCTGCACACAGCGTCCCCTCTGGCCGCAGTCAGAACTACATCCTCCGGTGCCACAGTCTGCTCCGCTGAAGCCTGAGTCGCAGACGCAGACACCGTCCACACAGCGCCCCCTCTGGCTGCAGCCACGCGGACACGCCAGCTCTGCACAGCTTTCCCCTGGAACACACGTGAGTAAGAATGCAGAAACATGTTTCAGCTTTTCATCAGTCAGGGTCAGTTCAAACAGTGCTTCTATCAAGAATTCTGGAAAGATGAGGGCTTCAGATGCTCTTTTTTTTTGTCAGGTGCTAATCAGGATCAACAGTGAAAAAACAATAACATTTAAGAAAAGAGAAAATCCAAGGCACTCTTTAGTTTATGGAGTTTATGGACATTTATCAACTTTTATGGACAGTGGTCATCTGCCCCTTATGGACCGACGGCTCTCAGTGTTTTTTGCTTGTGTTTGAACTGTTTGATTCTCTGATCTGTGTAGGCAAAATCAATGGCACTCTGGGATAACGACTGTTTTGATTTTCATTCTATGCAAGAATGAATTTAATTGAATTGAATTGAAATTCCATCCATGCATCCATTTTCTTCATCTGTTGCCGGGTTGCGGCCAGACTTCCCTATCCACACGGCCAGACTTCCCTATCCACACACACTTCCTCCAGCTCATCCGGGGGAACTCCAAGGCGTGTCCTGGGTCTTCCCCAGGGCCTCCTCCCAGTGGGACGTGCCCAGAACACCTCCCCAGGGAGGCGTCCAGGAGGCATCCGGAACAGATTCCCGAGCCACCTCAACTGGTTCCTGTCGACGTGGAGAAGCAGCGGCTCTACTCCGAGCTCCTCCCGTGTGACTGAGCTCCTCACCCTATCTCTAAGGGAGCACCCAGCCACTCTGCGGAGGAAGCTCATTTTGGCCGCTTCTACTCACGATCTTGTTCTTTCGGTGATTACTCAAAGCTCATGACCATAGGTGAGGAGGGAACAAAGACTGACCAGTAAATCGAGAGCTTTGCCTTTCGGCTCAGCTCCCTCTTTACTACAAAGGTTTGATACAGCGAGCACATCACTGCGCACCCTGCACGGATCCACCTGTCAATCTTACGCTCCATCCTTGGCTCACTCATGAACAAGACCCCGAGATACCTGTACTCCTCCGCTTGAGGAAGGACCGCTCTAAACACTTGGAGAGTGCAAGGCACCTTTTTCTCTTCGAGTACCACAGCCTCGGATTTGGAGGTGTTGGTTCTCATCCCAGCCGCTTCACACTCGGCTGCAAACCGTCCCAGTGCATGCTGCAGGTCCTGGTTCGTTGGAGCCAACAGGACAACATTGTCCGCAAACAGCAGAGATGGAATCCTGTGGTCCATCTCACGATCTGGCTGCGCCTAGAAATTCTGTCCATAAAGACATGTGAACAGAACCGGTGACAAAGGGCAGCCTTGGCGGAGGCCAACATGCACCAGGAACAGGTCTGACTTACTGTCGGCGATGCAAACGCAGCTCTGACTCCGGTCAGGGACCGGGCGGCCCTCAGCAGTGGACCCCGTACTCCCGGAGAACCCCTAAAGAACTGTCCGGGGAACGCCTTCTCCAAATCCACAAAGCACATGTGAGCAGGTTGGGAAAACTCCCATGAACCCTCGAGTATCCGATGGAGAGTAAAGAGCTGGTACAGTGTTCCGTGGCCGGGACGAAAACCGCACTGCTCCTCCTGAATCCAAGATTCGACCATCGGACGCAGTCTCCTCTCCAGTACCTTGGAGTAGACCTTAACGGGGAGGCTGAGGAGTGTGATCCCGATAATTGGGACACACCCTCCAATCCCCCTTCTTGTGGAGGGACCACCACCCCGGTCTGCCACTCCATTGGTACCGCTCCTGATCGCCACGCGATGTTGCAAAGACGTGTCAGCCAAGACAGTCCCACAACATCCAGAGACTTTAGAAAGTCAGGGCGGATCTCCTCCACTCCCGGTGCCTTGCCACCAAGGAGGCGGGAAACTACCTTCGTGACCTCAGCCAGGGAGATGGAAGTATCCGCCCCAACATCCTCAACCTCCAGAACGGAGGACGTGACGAGGGTATTGAGAACCTCAAAGTATTCCTTCCACTGCTCAACAATATCCCCAGTTGAGGTCAGCAGCTCTCCACCCGCACCGTGCATGTTGTTGAGTCTCTTTGAGGACGACCGAGAAGTTCCCAGCAGACCCTCACTACACGCTTGGGTCTGCCAGGTCTGACCGGCTTCCTCCCCTGCCAGCGGATCCAACTCACGATCAGGTGGTGATCGGTTGACAGCTCCGCCCCCATCTTCACCTGAGTGTCCGAGACATGCGGCCGAAGGTCAGATGATATGTCCACAAAGTCAATCATCGACCTCTGGCCTGGGGTGTCCTGGTGCCACGCGCAGTGGTGGACACCCTTGTGCTCGAACATGGTGTTTGTGATGGACAAATTGCGACTAGCACAGAAGTCCAACAACTGAACACCGCTCTGGTTCAGATCAGAGTGACCGTTCTTCCCAATCACCCCTCTCCAAGTGTCACTGTTGTTTCCCACATGGGCGTTGAAGTCCCCCAGGAGAATAATGGAGTGCCCGTTTGGTGCACTGTCCAGTACCCCTCCCAGGGACTCCAAGATGGCCTGGTACTCTGCACTTCTGTTAGGCCCGTAGACTGTCATAACAGTGAGAGATTTGTCCCCCACCCGAAGGCCCTCTCATTCACCGGGGAGAACTCCAACACGTGGCTTCACTTGAATTTCACTTGAATGGAAATTGAATAAAAATAAATAAAACTTTAACATTTATTTAAAGTACTGCTATACAATTGCATTAAGTAGACTTAGATTCTGTGACAGGTACTTATTACATTTAAACCACACCTGAAACCCTATAATCTGTTACATGCCCTATGTGGCCGATACGTGTAGCCTTTACTGTCAAAAGTGCCTTGGGTTTCCTCTTTTTTTAGCTTTTCTATCTGCTCTCCTTCAGTCGTGTCCAGTTCAAACAGCTCGTCCATCTCTGACTGCACCTGTAAAGCCGCTGTCGCACACACACTGCGCGTCCACGCACACGCCGCGCCCGCCGCAGTCGCAGGAGGCCATAGAGCAGTCCGCTCCGCTGAAGCCCGGCTCGCACACGCACTGGCCGTCCATACAGCGCCCCCTCTGGCCACACGGGGGAGAACACGTCTCCTCAGAGCAGTCCGACCCTCTGAAGCCACTGAAGCACACGCACTTCCCGTCCACACAGCGGCCCTGGTCACTGCAGTCACTGGGGCACAGAGACACGGGGGACACAGGGTCTGGAGACACGGAGCAGCCCGCACCTGAGGAGAGAGACAAAGGTCTATGAAAATGTTTGTGTATCCATATAAGGTCTCCAATCTTTTTCACCTGGAGAGCTGCGTTCTCAAGACTAGAATGAGACAGAACGTCTGGGGAAAAGAGCAAGCCTTGGATGGGTACTGTTACTATCAACTGTCAATATTTATAATCTATTACATTTGTATCTGTAACTACTGCTATCTATCTTAACTACTGCTACTACTACTGAACTGCTGCTACTCCTACTTCGGCTATTACTACTAATACTAATTCTGCTTCAGCTGCTACTGCTAATACTACGAATACTGCGACTACTGCTTCTGCATCTGTTGCTACTGCTACTATTACCGCTGCTATTGCTACTACTACTTTCTGCTGTTACTGTTAATGCTACTACTGCTACTGCTGCTACTACTACTACTACTAGATAGACAGATACTTTATTGATCCCCATAAAAGAAATTCAGGTGTCCATAAACAGCAAAAATAAATAATAAAATTGATCATTCTAAAAAGATAAAACAATAGTAATAATAATCAGCAAAAGCCCTTCAGGTCACAGCAGCAGAGATCAAGTAGCCTCTTGTTGGAGCAGGATGGGTCACAGGAGACCTACTACTACTAATAATTCTACTACTACTACTAGTACTGCTACTTGTGCTTCAGCTGCTACTGCTACTGCTACTACTGCTACTGCTACTACTACTACTAATGAATGAATGAATGAATGAAAAAATTATTTCAGAACCTGCACACATAATTTTCACAGGAAACAGGAAAACAATACAGTCACTACCACCGATGGTATACGAAAAGACAACTCACACACACACACACACACACACACACACACACACACACAGGCCCAAGCACTCCCTGACCATACACCTCTCTCCTTCAACTGTTCAGTGCTGAGGGCATCACTCTCCTTCCTCCTTGTACTTCATCTATATTTCATTTTTTATACACTTAAATTGAATCAGCTTTGAACATGTTTTAAGTAACTCCACACACGGAGATACACATTGATTTTAAAGTAGTTCTAAATTTAGGTAAGTATAGTTGTTTGTTTCCTCAGTCGATACTGATGGTGAGAATCACCTATCATGGAACAGTGTTTGCACACTCGGTGGGAGAGAGTTTTGCGATGCCCTGAACAGTTTTAAATTTAATCAAGTCTTGATGTTTAAGTTGTCCCAAGTCTAAAAATAATGGGTGTGAATGATGTCTATAGTGAACATTTGATACAAACCGAATAGCCTTCTTTTGCCAAGTGACTAAAGGCTGTAAGTGAGATTTGTAGCAGTTTCCTTCAATACAATAGTATAAGTATGACATAATGAATAAATGATAGAGCAAAAGTAGGGCATTCGTTTTCAGTAAAGGACTCGCTCGCTTCATCACTCCGACACATTTAGCAACTTTTGTTCTCAGGTAACTTATGTGGGGTTTCCAATTGATTTTTTTTTGGTCTATTATAACGCCTTAGAAAGCATTTTGTTTGACTTTCTCAATTGGTGTATCATCAATTATTATTCTGACTGGAATATTACTTTTCCCATTGCCAAAGAGCATAATTTTGGTCTTTTTTAAATTTTGTGATAATTTATTACCATTAAACCATGTTTTTACTTTGTTCATTTCCACAGTTACTGTGGCCAAAAGTTGCTCCAAATTGTCACCTGGACATATAATAGCTGTGTCATCAGCAAAAAGAATGAATTTCATGAACTTTGACATTTTGCATATTTCATTAATGTACAATATGAATAAAGTGGGTCCCAATATTGACCCTTGTGGTACTCCACAGGTTAAGTCCCTACAACTTGATTTGTGTTGATCAATCTGTCGTCTCTCGCTCAAGTAGCTCTGCAACTATTTAGTTGCCAATCCCCTTGTACCATAGGCCTCCAGTTTGTTTATCAAGATATCATGATCAATGGCATCAAACGCCTTTTGAAGATCAATGAAAATTACAATTACAATTTGTTTTTGTTTTTCCGATTCCATTTGAGATCTCCTCTACTAAGTCAATTAGAGCAGTGGTTCCCAAAGTGGGGGTCCCGACCCCCCGGGGGGTCGCGGGAACCCCTGGGGGGGTCGCAAGATGATTTCCACACACACAAAAAAAGATTTTTTTTGCTCAAAAAAAAAAAAAAGATTTTTTTTTTGAGCAAATATAAAGCCCTTAAATATTTATTTAGCATTTATATATATTATTATGTATATTTTATAATATATTTATAAAATATATTTTAACAACGTTAGTAATTTTGTCCCAGTCATTGCAGCGTCAATCAAAATCATCACGTAACACAGCTCACATCATGCGCAGCGACAAAGCGTGTCCAGCTGTTGTTTGCTAAAACTAAAGGTGTTTGGAGGCTACAAATAAATAATACCTGCTTTAAAATGAAACGTGGTTAATATCCACAACAGAAAAACCCGGAGGGGGAGAAAAGTCACTTCTATCAGGGGTCAGGCTGATGGTGCGAAGAGAGGGAGAGAGGGCAGCGGAGGGAGGGAGGGCAGCGGAGGAAGGGAGGGAGGGAGGACAGCGGTAGAACAGCGCGTTAAAGAGGCCCGGCTTTTCGGAGGTAAAGAGGTCCGCACATTAAAAGCGGGTGGCCGGTTTATGCCTTTATTGACAGTAACTTTGGAAAGAGAAGCCGCGGGGATGAACCGCATAAAGTAACAGCAGAAAGCGGCCGCCCGCTTTTAATGTGCGGACCTCTTTACCGCTGACTCCGGAAAGCCGGCCCACTTTACCACGGTAGGAGAACAGTGAGGGCGAGCCGCAAGAAATGCGCTCCACTTCTGCTGAGGAGGGAGCCCACCAAGCCCATCACTGTGTCACTACATGAGTAAAAATATGCAAGCCTCCTTTTTTGGGCTGGACAGTGCAGCTCAGTAGTGGCGTGAGTCTCTAGAAAGCGTTACTCCGTATCAAGGAAATACATGCTCATTTCATGTGACGAAAGGGCTGTTGGGGGGGGGTCGGGGGTCGCGGGTTAGCAGGGCATTTATGATGGGGGTCGCGGGCTAAAAACTTTGGGAACCCCTGAATTAGAGCAAGTGATGCAGATCTATTTAGCCTAAACCCATATTGACTATCAGACATTAAATTGAAATAAACTTTCAATAAACCCACGGGGTCTTGTATCAAATAGTTTTTTGGAAATAATTTTGGAAAACTAAGGCAGAAGAGAGATTAGCCGATAATTGGTGAAACAGTGTTTGTCTCAGAATTTGACTGTGGGGATCACTTCTGCAGTTTTCATAGGGGAGGGAAAATCACTGTGTTGGAAAGATAAGTTACAGATGTGAGTAAATGGTTTAACAATTTCTTCAGCCACACTACGTACTGTTTTCATGTCTATGTCGTTTATGTCTTGTGATGTTTTGTTTTTGTATTTGTCTGTTTACATTCAGGACTTCCCTCTCGTCTGTGGGAGTGAGGAACATGGAGTTTGAATTTCTTTCAATGAGTCCCTTCGGCTGTTCGAACGTTGGATTTCTTTATCCAGTTCTGGTCCAACATTTACAAAGAAGTTATTAAATCCATCTGTGATCATTGTTTTGTCCCTTATAATTGTGTTGTCCTCCACTAAGTACTGTACTCTGGATAACTAGGGCTGGATACTACTACTACTACTGCTACTGTTTCTACTGCTACTTCTATTTCTACTACTATGCTACTGCTCCTGCTTCTATTATTACTATTTCTGCTTCAGCCGCTACTGCTACTACGACTACTGCTACTATGACTACTGCTACTACTAGGACTACTACTACTACTACTACTGCTGCTGCTGCTCCTAATACTACTGCTACGACAGTTACTGCTACTACTACTTCTGCTACTGATTTTGCTACTGCTATCAATACTCCTACTACTACTGCCTCTAATACTTCTACGACTACTACTTCTGATACTGATTCTACCACTTTAATTAGTACTGTTGCTGCTAATTCTGCTACTGCTGCTACCTCTACCACTACTACTACTACTACAGCTACTGCTGCTGCTACTATTACTGTCATTACTACAATTAATGCTTATGCTCTACTACTGCCAGCTTTAATGGTCAGCTCTAAAGGGTCGTTTAGACCTTGAAAGCAGCTTCCACGGACTCACATTCTCTAAATTTCAGATGCTTAAGTTTAGAAAACCCTTAGACAAGCATCTTTTTGTGTAAAGGAGGACCCAAATGGAGTATTACATAGCTTCGCTCAAGGTAAAGGTAAAAGTGCACTTTATTTATTAACTATTATTTGGACTTAAAAAATGAAACTGGTCTGAACTGAAGTGGTGTATGGAGTTCATTGTATAAGGTAAGCCCATAACACACATAAATATGCTTTTTACAGACTTCGTACGAGCAAATAATTCAAACATAAAACATTTTCTGCTGTTGCCACACAAATTGTGAATAAGCCGCTCTGTAGGTCCTGTTGATGTATGTGGTATGTTCATGTGATTGGGGTGAAGTCAGTGCCTCATCAATCACCAACCTCACGGTACGTCACTGAAAGATTGGAGTTTTGTTTGGACCTTTGTCAGGTTTTACCCAGGACAGGAATGTGACAAAATAAAAGGGTACAAACACACACCAGTAGCAGAGACCATGTAGACAAGCACATACGGCTGGTGCTGTATCAGATAATCTCATTAAAATGGTCGACACCCGGTGTAGAAATATAAAAAAGAGACCAACGAGAGACAGGGGAGAGATCAGAGACCAGAGAGAGACCATGGAGAGACCAGGGAGAGACCATGGAGAGACCTGAACAGGACCAGGGAGAGACCATGGAGAAACCAGAGAGAATCACATTATAATTGAGTATGGAAGGTTTCTCATCCACAAAGACACGTCCCAACATATTTTTTCTCAAGCACAACTTTTCAAAGGAAAGAACAGCGCATGCAACTGCTCACACTCTGACGGTGAGTACTTCACTCACCCAAACACAGCTCCACGGCTCGTTAGAGACTTGTGTATAGTTTAGAACTTTCTTCCCCGGGGCCACGTGTGCAGCAGCCCAGAAACACACATGTTTTTGCTCAGTGTGAATGAGATGTGTGATATCTGTTGAATTTCAGAAGTGGATATGGTAATTTGCGGTTCTGAGCTCAGCCCTGGCACAGACAGGACCCACACCCCTGGCTCTCAGAGGAGCGGACTGTTGCTATAGCGATCAGAGATGACACAATACCATCAGGGGAGGGATGATTCAAACACTGAACCCGGACTGAACCAGGTCTGAACCGGGTCTAAACTAGGACTGAACTGGGAACTGAACCATGTCTGAACAGGGAATGAACCAGGTCTGAACCAGGACTGATCAAGGACTGCAGTAACCCTCTCCACATGCTGCTGTTGTTGTGTCATCATGGAGACAGTCTTTGAACTTGTGTTTTTGATCTGTTTGTCCAGAGGATTCTCTCAACGAGACACAGACTGATGTGTATATGACGACTTGAGAGCCCGCTAGAGCAGCTCCGTGCACATGTTTGCTCTAATTTCAATAATAGGTATAGTACCTTTGACTCTAAAAACCCACATATAACAACATAGAACCATCAACATCTTGCCTCATATGGCATTAAAAGTGACAAAGGGCGTCGATCCCAGACTGTTGTGTTCAGCCAAACGCCTCTGGTGGAGCATGGAGGAACTACAAGGGTCTGGTGAGAGCCATGCTAACTGACAACAGAGATTTGGGTGGTGATTGTAACTTTTCAAACCAGTATTGGTGCTGAAACTGCATTTTCACATTGTAAAATATCTGAAAGTATTTTACAATGTGACGTTGCCGCTTTCATGTTTATCTCTTTGTAAATCGATCGGTCAAACGCAGCATGGATGTCTCTCTGCTTCAGTCCTTCATCTGTGATTTATGCTGCGAGGAAAAACAGGACTTCAGGCCCTAAATCAGAGCTCCTTGATGTCCATTACAGCAACTGGAGACTGTCAACATAATCAGACCATGGACTTTGTACAGATGGACAATGCTAAACCAACTAGCTCAAGAAGCTTAAAGTGATCATCTGGAACTTTAAACAAATTACAAATTTTAAGAATTGTATTAAATTGACCTCGCCCTAAATGTTTATGTATAATTAGCCTGGTCGTACCACACCATAGTATAATTTACATTTCTACTAAGGTCTGGAGGTGCTCCATTGAGCTCCGTTTACAGGTGGGAGGGGTTAACTCCTTTTGCAGATTGAAACGATTGGATCTGAGTTTACCGTGACGTATGTGGTGCGCCCGAGTCTGTCGTTAGCATTTAGCCTAGCCATCTCCTTTGCCGCTAACAGAGCCCGTGGGGAGTAGCGCCACAATCTTGACCAGCGATTACATTTGCTAAACATTACTCTTGCTCTGGCTTCAATTTCTTGATAGAACCAGACCAGATTACTTTACTATTGCATTTTTCGCCATTGCCAAACTACAACCTGCCCGTTCAACGCAAACTCTTGACATCACCCACAACTAACTGCAACACCCACCTCCCACACTCGCTGATTTGTCGGTCGAAATTCAACCGATTGTAATCGCTAACACAGGGACCAGACCCAGACGTTACATGAAGGGAAATGATGATTGAGCAGCGTGTACGGACGGTTAAGGCCAGGCTATTATAAAATAAGTCATTTTATGAATTATTATATTACGGATAAGTCCCGCCTTCAGGGGGGAGACAATGAGAGCTGCCACCCAAAGCTCATAGCACCAGTCCCTCGCTGATCCTCTGAAGTGGTGAGTCCATTCAAATCAATGGAGCATTCTACTGCTGCTGTGAGGAACTGTAAAATAAATAATGATTAGATATTCAAATATTTAAATTAATAATCTCTCCTCCGCACGTCTTGGCCCATTGACCTGGCGCATGCATGGAAAAGTAAGCACGGCTTCAAGATCAATTAGAAGGGAAGGAGAATGGAGCTTGGGTTTATTTTTATTTTTTTGTGTTTTTATTTTTCAAATCATGTACCTCTCTCTCTTTTTTCTGACAAAGTCTAGACTATCACTTTAATAGAGAAGAGCTCACAGACAAAGTTTTGCCCCAAATCTCTCTGGCTCCTATTGACTTTCATGTAAAAATGTGAGTGGTGTCACACTCACCATTGTGATCCTGGTGTTTATATCATGTTATTATACGGCTCCTCACAGCAGCAGTAGAATGCTCCATTGATTTGAATGTAATTTCAAAACGTTCTACCGGTCATTATTTTCTATAACGGACCTCTCGGAACAATAATGACCGCTGCCCATGGCAACGCACTCTGTGCTTGTCTTTCAAATGCGTGGATAACTCCGCAAGTAGTTCCGGCCACTCCGGAGCTAGCCATGCTCAATCAACACACTTAAATGTTAATCAGAGAATACTTATACATATACATTCTTCACACACGTGCACGGAAATTTTAAGAATTTTCGGGTCTTGTCTTCATGACAAAAATACTATTTCTCTGCGTCAAAAAGCGATCGTGAAAAACCCGGAAGTAGTTCCGGCCGCTCAATAAACGCAAATGCCAATCAATCAACGCAATGAAATGTTTATCGGAGAGTAATTTATACATATCCAGTCTTAATACAAGTGCACGGAAGTTTTCAGAATTTTCCGTTCACGTTTTCATGACAAAAACACTGATGTAATGCGAGAAAAGGCGATCCCGAAAAACCCGGAAGTAGATACCGGCACATTTTCGGACACATTTGCAGAGGATCGAATTATGGATTTAGGTTAGGTTTATGTATGGGTCACTCACCGCTCAGTTTTCATGCAGTTCCAGGGAGTTCTAGTTTGGAGTTAAATAAACCTTAATAATATGTAAGGGATAGCGTAATATACGTTATCCCTTACATATTGTCTTTGTAAATCCAGATATGAGCCATATGGATGGACCAATCCAATGCCTTCATTTGCAGGGAAACACCAGCTTGCCTTAGCAACCGCCTTATCAACACGGTTGCTAAGACAGTTGCTGCCCAACTACGGCACAAAGCTAACACTGTAAAAAAATGAAATCCATAAAGGGAGATTGGCTACGGCTAGCTTAATAGAATTAACAAACTTTAGTGGAAATATAAATGGTTTTTCTTTGTGCATGATGAGATGAGAAGCTCCAGACCTTTACTTTCTCTGGACGTGCAGCCGCCGTTTGCCTCTGGGTCGCCACACTTCTGCCTCAGCGCAGAAAGCTCACGCTCAAGCCGTTCTACGCGCTCACGGAGGGAGTCGAGGTCCGAGACACAATCACATGATCCAGAGACCGGACCAGAGTCAGGAGAAGAGGGGACCAGGCGGATGTGGTGGGTCAGAACCAGAGGAGCACCAGGAGACAAGGACAGCTCATTACCTGCAGGCAAACATTGTTCAGTGAGTCAGAGAGCCCCATCACAACCACACAGAGTACACTCAGATCTACATCTCTCTTACTGCAGGAGAGGTTTTGTATTGGGGCTTTTTGTGTTTTTGTTGGTGTTGTCATTCAAAACCAATATTAGAACATAGAGTCCATATACCTCCAGCGTCTGCGTCAGCAGCTTCTCCCAGAGCAACACATCCTTCAGAGATCATCACCTGAGGATGAAGAGGAGAGGTTATGAAGAGGAACTCACTGTTAAAGTCAGTTTAAGGTCAGAGAGGGGATGAAGAGTAGAGACCCGTAGGAACTTACTGTCCTGTGCATCAAACCTGGTCCATCTGCACTGGGACAGTCTGGGTTCTGGATCAGAGAAAAGTCCTGGTCCTCTCTGGGTGCAGAGGTCCCAGTTATCTCATTTCTTTAGTTAAAGGGAACGTGTCCCCAAAGATGTGCTCTGTCTCTGTGCTGTTCTTAAACGGTGAGAAACCCGTCATGTGTAGGATGTGAGGAGGGCGTGACCACCTCCGACCGCCTCACGATAAAAAAAGGTTTTTCTCATTTAAGAAACATGACAGAGAAGTTGATGCATGCTTTTATCACCAGTTGTACAAAGAAGTAGAACTTCGCACATCATTTTCTGGAGCAGGTGCAAAGGAGAGGGAGGAAGAGTCCCAGTGCACGTGAAAAAAATGTTTCCGCACACTGCTGTCCTTGCAAAAATTACTCTGGAGAATGTTACGTTTCGGTCCTGAGACCTTCATCAGGAAAATTGCTAATGAGCTCCGGGTGGCATGCCTTAAATAAGGTGCGGCTGGCCTCCATGGAAGGCCCTCTTGAGAGGACTGCTCTATGGTCCCAAAAAGAACATTTCAAATACTCCAAAACTCAGCAGCACTTGCTCTAACCAAGACCATGGGGGGACCACATCACCCCTGATTTAAAATATCATGGGCGCCCCATGTGTTTCAGGATCAATTTGAAGTTGTTTTTTTTACTGGTTTTTTACTGGTCTTGATGGTCTTTCAGAACTACTTTTACAAATGAACCTTCCCAGCCCCTGTGCTCCTCCGGCAGCAGGCTACAAGTGATTCCCAAAGTCAGGATACACGCACACACACACACATATATACACACAAACACACTCACAGTGAGGCATCTTACAAGCACTAGATTTTATTATTTATTATTGCTTTTCATATAAACTACTCCTCCAATAGACATTTTTTTGTTGTTGTATCAGTGTTATCATTATTTATTGTGCTTTATTGTCTCACTTTTTAATTTGTTCTTTTTATTGTATTGTTTTAGTTTCCTCAGTGTTTCTTCTGGAGGAGCCCTCTGCACTGGGAGCGGTCTGGCTCCTGGACCTGGTGGAGGTCCGGGGCCGCCTCTCTCCTCTCGGTCTTGTGTGGTCCCCTGTAGCTGCAGGTGGCTCTCTGCTCCTGGTACAGACGGCTCCTTGGATGGGTTGGTCTGGTTGAGGGTTCGTGTTCATGTGGGATTGTTTGTTAACTATTAAGCACGTTGTTTTGCATTTTCTGTATGAAAAAGTGCTTTATATATTACATTTGATTGCCACTTAAAGGAGGTCATGCGAGGTCAATGGTCGTGATGAAGTTGTGAGGAGGTCATGAGGAGGTCAATGGTCATGATGGGGTCATGAGGTCACTTACTTTAATGGAGTTTTGTGCATGTGACCTTTGACCCACTCCGTGACGGCAGAGGGCAGAAGTCACGGCGAGGAGCAGCAGGAAGTGACTCATTCTTTTTCCTGTGGACGCTTCACATTCACAGCCTCATGTCTGAACCTGCACCAGAGACAACAGAGTGACAAAAGAACCATCAGGTGTGATCGTCCTAAAGCTTAGGTACCTGACTTCAGTCTCATAAATAACAAATAAAAGTAAAAACATTACTTGTGAAAGTGAAATGGTGTGAACAAACCAGACCAAACATGCTATCTTAATTTTATAGGAAAACATGTAACCTAGGGTGTGACAAAGAACCCTGTGAGTCACTATTTGACTCTCTGGGCTGAGAGCTGATTGGCTGAGTGAGGGTGGTCCTCTCTATTTTACTTTTCTCTCTGAAAAAACTGATCGAAAGATGTGACAGAGGCCAGAATGATCGAGACCAATACCAGAACCAAGACTTAAACCAAGACCAAGAACCAAAGCCAGGGCCAAGATCAGGACCAAGACCGAGTTCAAGAATAAGAACGGGACCAAGACCAAGACCAGGACCCCAACCTCAATCACACACAAATGTAAAAAGTAGTTATAGAAGAAAACTGTTTTAGAGCCAGGAACTAGGGACACAGGTTTTTATTTCAGTTAGCCGCGGTGTAAAGTTAGATACCCCAGCTTTAAAGTAAGATTTCTAGTGTAGCAATGCCTGTTTAAGACATAACAGATGAAACTGTAACAAGAACTGGTGACATCACAGTGAGAGATACAAATATTTGACACAATTCACAACAAACACATTTTCTTGTCAAAGTTGTTGGCCACAAGTTTCTCAGATCTGGTTTGGAGCCATTTACAGTGTGGTCCAGTATGAGGCCTATGGGGCCAGTGCAGCTGCGGGTTTTACGAGCTGTTAGGTCCGCAAACAGAGGTCCCTGAACGCATCACACCCTCAGCCAAACTAATGAGACAGTGATCCACACAGGTCCAGAGGAGAGCTGACCACATACAGTAGATGGACCAAAGAGAGACCACAGAGAGACCACAGAGAGAGAGACCAGAGAGAGAAAGACTGAGAGACACAAGAAAGTGACCAGAGAGACAGAACAGAGAGAGAGAGGCCAGAGAGAGACCTGGTCTAATGTGAGGTCTCCGACACAGGTGTAATGTAAGGTCTGCAGATCTCGTCTATCACAGATCTCGTCTATCACAGATCTCGTCTCGCTGGTGAATTGCAAACGCAGACTCACAGCACTGTAGGTTTATGTGGAAATGTGACCGGAGTTTTCCACAATGATCAAAAACAGATCTGACTTTGCAGACGCAGAATCTTTGATGAATAAACGAGAATTTCCTCAAACGAGAATTTGAGGACCCCGTTTCATAAATAACAGTTTGACCCAATGGAAAGTTTAAAAATGTTAAACCAGACTACAAGATGCTGCCATCATATTACAAAACATGTTATCTTTAGTGTGAGAAAGACCCCTCTGAGTCACTATATGCCTCTATGGACAGATTTCATTGGCTGAGGAAGGTCCTGTGTTTTGCACTTTTCTCTGTGAAAAAGCTGAAAGGCCAGAAAGACATGAAAATGAATACTGGTGATAGAAGCAAACTGAAACCACAGAGAGACCAGAGATTGAGACCAGGGAAAGCGACAACAGAGAGACCAGAGAGAGAGAGCAGAAAGACTTAGAGCAGAGAGACTATGACCAGAAAGCGACCAGAGAGTGACCACAGAGAGACCAGGAAGATAACAGAGAGAGTCCAGAGAGAATGAGACCAGCGAGAGCCACAGAGACATAAGACCAGAGAAATCCCAGAGACAAGAGAGAAAGATACACCATGAGAGACCACTAATACCAATCAGTAGTGTTAGTCAACCAGATTTAATTGTTTTCATATCTATTTTTGTTGTGTAAAATGTTATTATTAAAGTCTCTTTGCAGATAAACTTTGGATTCAGTTCTGGGCAATAAATGAATCAATACAAAAAAAAAAGGTTCGTACCTGAAGCAGCAGTGAGTGTGGCAAAACTGGAAACAGGTAAATCCTTCACTGAGACCAGAAAGACCCCAGAGACCAGAGAAAACCCAGAGAACAAGACCAGAGACCCGAGAGAAAATATAGAGAGACTGAGACCAGAGAGAGACCAGATACGCCAGAGAGACCACTGATACCAAGGACCAGAGCGACCAGAGACCTGCAGATGTACTTAGATCCTCCACAGCGACAAAACCACAGACTAATGAGACCGGAGACTGAAGTAGAGACCAGAGAGAGAGAGCGGGGAGGTGAGGGGAGGGAGGAGGAGGAAGGAGAGGAAAGTGGAACAGGTCAGTGTCCATTTTTTCCCTTAAACTTGATGTTAAACAAGAAATATTCTGCAAAAGTGTCTTATTTGAGCTTTTGATTTTGTTTCGACATTGAAAAGAGACCTGGACCTGTTTTTTGCTCCATCCACGCAAATCCAACAATGTAATTTGTCACTGCAAAAGATGACAGAATTAAAGACAAAAAAATGCTCAAATTTGGCTAAATGTATCTAAATATGAGCACATTTTGACTGCCTTAAAACAAGATTTGCCAGTGGAACAAGAAAAATTGTCTTGTTTTAAAAAGATACAAGATATTTTTCTCTTGGAATGAGAAAATAAAGCAATAGTTCTTGAATCAAGTCAAAATTGCTTGTCTCATTGGCAAATCTCATTTTAAGACAGTCAGAATGAACTTAAGTCAAGTTAAAAAAAATTCGATTCTAGCAATTATGATCAATCAAATCAATCAAATTTTATTTATAAAGCGCTTTTCATACATAAGATGCAACACAAAGTGCTTTACAGTTTGGTTAAAAACAATCCCGCCGACCCAAGACCCCTCCCCCAGACCACCCAACAGACCCACCCCAAACCACAGACAAACACACACACACGCGCTCATGAACACTCATACACACACACACACACACACACCAGTAAAACAATAAAAACATGATGAGAGACTTGGCAGGGTTCAGATGCAACCAGCTGAAAAAGCGTCATCCAAGGAGCCGTCTGCACCAGGAGCAGAGAGCCGCCCGTAGCCACAGGGGACGACACAGGACCCAGAGGAGACATGAAACCGAGGCCCCAGGCCCCCACCAGGCCCAAGAGTCCGACCCCCGCAGCCACACCGACCGCTGCTCCCGGTGCAGAGGGCTCCTCCAGAGGAAACACTGGGTACACTAAAAACAATACAATAAGTAAAACACTAAAATGTGAGACTAAAAGGAACACACAATACATGAATAATAGCAATAGCAATATAATAAATAATAAATAATAAAAGATAAATAGAATGGAATAATAAAAACTAATCAAAAGCTACTCTAAAAAGGTGCGTCTTGAGCCTACTTTTAAAAATGATCAAAAATGATCTCATATTTGATCATTTTTTGCAGTGAGGTACTGCTCAAACTCTCATTTCAGTCCTGATCCAGACCTGGTTTACAGCTGGTTCAGACCTTAGTACAGGTACCAGGTCTTGGTTCAGACCTAGTCTTGGAACCTGTTCTTTTGCAGAATCCCTAAAGTCACTTAAACTTTTTACGACTTCGCCCACAACTTCATCGTTTACTGTCGCCGTGACGACCACAAACTCACCACATGTGGAACACTCAGGACCACATCCCGCCGCCCCTTTTGTCCAAATGCTCTGTTCCAAACCTGTTACACTGGGATCAATCCGCCGACGACAATCATTTCCAATCCAAAACATTCTTTCCAGCTGTGTGAGTGCTGCTCATCCTGGCCATCTCTTGTTCCACTTTATCCTCTGATTAATACAAGGGCCTTATTTATGAAGGATTAGTGTAAGTTAAGTTGTAAAATTGGTGCAAACCGATTTCTCAGACAAATGTTGAACTAAACCAGCAAAACTGATTTCACACACAGTTTAGGACTGGGATTGGTAAATAACATCTGCACCCAGATTCAGACCATTTCTGGTGTATCTTTGCTCTCTCCTGTCTCTTTCTGGTCTCTCTCTGTTCTCTGGTCATTCTCTGTTCACTCACTGGTCTCTCTCTGGTTTCTGGTCTCTCTGGTCCCTCTCTCTAGTCTCGCTCTGTGTTATATCTCTGGTCTCTCTCTGGTCTTTCTCGCTGGTCTCTCTCTGGTCTCCACACTGTCACCTTCCCCACTATTTCCCCAAGTGGACACAGCGTTCAGTCCCCTGGTTGCAGTTCAGAAGGAGAGAAACATCTGAGACAAAAGCAGATGTCTCCTTTAGACTGCAGACTGCATCAGGAAGCTCTGTGTGGTGTTGTGCCACTGGGCAGGACACTTCTTCAGCTGCAGAACACATGTTTTACCTGATCACCGCTCTGTAAACTCCGGCTCGCAGACATCAGATCTGTCTTCAAAGCAGAAAACTTTATTTAAACGAGACCCAATCGCCCCACAAAGCCACTGCCATTTTATCTCTGTCCATCTGGAAAAACACCATGAATGTCTCTTTGGTCTCGCTTTGGTCTTTCTCTCTGGTCTCTGGTGTTTCTCTGGTCCCTCTCTCTCTAGTCTCTCGCTGGTCTCTCTCTCTGGTTCCTCTCTCAGGTTTCTCTCTGGTCTCTCTCTTTCTCTCCCTCTAGTGTCTCTCTGGTCTCTCTCTGGTGTCTCTCTGATCTCTCGCTCTGGTCTCTCTCTGGTCCCTCATTGCGCATGCTTTACTGTTAACTTGTTTTGCCATATTTTACATAAAATCTGCAAAAAAGAGCCATAAGAGTTATCAACAATGCCAGTTATTGAGAACACATCAATCCGTTCTTTATTCATACAAAACTACTCAAACTAAGAGATTTAATAAATTACCAAACAGCACAAGTCATGCATAAAGCAAAATGCAAACTACTACCAGGAATCATTCAAGGGCTTTATTTTGAAAGGGAAAGAGTTTATAATTTAAGAGGACCATATAGTGGGTAAGTAAGTAATCTTTATTTATATACCGCCTTTTCACTGCAGATCTGAGTCTCAAAGCGGTTTACAATTGTTAATTTTGGGCATTTGTCTCTCACTCCTCACAGAGATGGGAGCGGG